CTGCGTCTGTAGATGCCACTGAGTAGGCGGGGAATTACACCCCGGTCCGCCAGGGTTTTCCCGCCACGCATTGTGTGTGTTTTGCCTGTCCCGGTGACACCGTATGCGAAGAGGGTCACGTCAAATCCGTTGAGAAGATGTTTAATGGTTGGCGACACTGTTACTCCGATCAATATACTAACCCATCGAAGGCCTGGTGAGCTTGAAACAGCAACTCACCTTCAGCATCAAACAGCTCCTGTTGCGATACCTCCGCGTCGTACACGCTATTGAATTGGAACGCATACTCCTCGCCCTCATTCTTGGGGTTTGGAATACGAACCACATTATCCCTGTCCCTCAATGCCGCCAATTTCCTGTCGCTCTTGTCACTCTTGTCGCCAATTATTGAGTGGCGTGATTTGGAGTCGGTAGCGGAAGATCCCGTACGAAGGATCACATCGGCCTCTCGTTCGGACTTGAGAAGGGGACGGATACGCGCGACAACTCGGACACTCATTGTGGCGGGGTGTTCATTCAATTGTCGTGAGATGGTCTGAGTCCTGGACGTCAGGGATGCGATCCAATCCAAACAAAACCAAAGGAATGACTAGAACGAAGCGTAAAGCCAAAAAAAGAGAACAGTAAAGAACAATAAAGTCCTCTACAAAAAAACAAAGAAACGAAACTAACTACTTGGTGTATGCAGAACTGAAGGTTGTGGAACGTGTGGAGGAGTTCTCTTGTGCAGCCGTCGGTGTGGTTGGTGTTGGCAGGGCAACCACCTTTGCTCTACAACATATGTTATCAGTACATTCTTTGACACTTGAGCACCACCATGAGAATATATATAACTACTCTGATACATTTTTTGGGGGGAAATCGAATCTCATAGTCTCATTACTGCAATTGACAGTATAGTAGAATCTATGGCTGTGCTCTGTGCTTGGACCAAGGGTTAGAGGTGTTCATGTGTGACTAGCCAGATACCTACAAATATGTATAGACTCAGCTCGATGAGAACAGATTCTATATATATATATTCCCTCAAATTGATATATAGACCGTCTTATACACAATATCAAAGGTTGTCGTACAATATAAAAACACGCCTCTCGTCACATGTCCCCTGGCCTCTGATTGGCTGGAGCGCCACGACCTAAAGGCCACCGTAGACCATCATCACCGCCTCTCCCACACTCCCTTGGTTTCTTCTGGTGAGCTGTCTTTTGCCTCGCTACTGCCTTTTGTGATATTTCTGGGTTTTCTAAAGGTATGGCCTACCCTGTACGCAACGCAGGTTCACCCTGTTTTGTTGACGAGAGACTGATTGTGGGGTTCCAGGAGCTGTTACCACCCGCCTCCTCATATTGATTCCACCCGCCGAGTTCGTGACGAGCGCGACCCTCTTTTCCTCCCAACCCTTAAGTACGACTAAACATAACCTACTCGACTCTAATGGCAGCACCACAAGGGGGATTCCCTCCCCAAGAAGGGTATGGCCAGCCCGCCTACGGCTCCCCAGAACCCACACAGTCCCCGGTCCATGGGCAAGGCGCGCCAGCACCAGCCGCAGGTGGAAAGAAGAAGAGAGCGTACGCTGGTGAGGCATTCGATTTTGGCTCCGGCGCCAATGCCGCGCTCGGTGGACAACCCACGGCTGGGGGTGCTTACGGGGCTTACCCTCAGCAGCCCCAAGTTGCAGGATATCAACAACCCGCCTACGGTGCGGACCCCAGCCAGATGCAGCCCGCAGCACCATCATACGGCGCGCCTGTTGCTGCCGATGTCTCGCAGATGACCCAGCAATTCGGTGGAATGGGAATGAGCGAGCCTCATCATATGCCGCCCCCGCAGCCTGTGGCCCAAGCCCCGATGCGACCTCAAGTCCAGCTCAACCAGCTTTACCCCACGGACCTTCGATCCCAACCTTTCAACGTCGCTGAGCTGGACTATCCCCCTCCTCCAGTTATCCTGCCTCCGGGAGTATGTATAGATGGTCTATTTCGTATGTGGTCGACATGCTAACAAATTGACAGACCAGTGTTTACCCATCCCCCGAAGCCAATTGCCCTACGAAATATATGCGATCCACGCTCAACGCTGTCCCCACAACCAACTCACTCCTGAAGAAATCAAAGTTGCCCTTCGCCCTTGTCATCCAACCGTATGCTTCTCTTCACGACGCCGAGGACCCCATTCCTGTGATTCCAGACCAAGTCATCTCCCGATGCCGACGTTGCCGCTCCTATATCAACCCCTTCGTCACCTTCCTTGACCATGGCCACCGCTGGCGTTGTAACATGTGTAACCTGACGAACGATGTGCCACAGGCCTTCGATTGGGACTCTACACTGCAAAAGCCCGCCGATCGTTCGCTGCGTGCCGATCTCAACCACAGCATGGTCGAATTCGTTGCGCCGCAGGAATACATGGTCCGACCACCCCAACCTCTGGTCTACCTCTTCTTGATCGATGTGAGCTATGCATCGGTGACCAATGGTCTTTTGGCCACCACCGCTCGCACTATCCAGGAGAGCCTTGACCGCATCCCGAACGCAGACCGCCGTACTCGCCTCGGATTTATTGCGGTGGACTCAAGCTTGCACTACTTCAGCATCCCCCGGGACGAGTCAGAGTCCTCAGAGCCCCGGATGTTGGTTGTCAGTGATCTGGATGAGCCTTTCCTCCCCATTCCTGGTGATCTCCTGGTGACGCTGAGCGAATGCCGGGAGAACATTGAGATATTCCTCCGCAAACTGCAGGAAATGTTCCAGAACACCCAAAACAACAGCTGTGCCATGGGTGCGGCATTGCGGGCTGGTTATAAGTTGATCTCCCCCGTCGGTGGAAAGATGACTGTCCTGAGCTCATCTTTGCCCAACACTGGTCATGGAGCGCTCACTATGAGAGAAGACAAGAAGGTGCTGGGCACCAGCAAAGAATCGAGTCTGCTTCAAACTGCAAACTCATTCTACAAGAGTTTCGCCGTCGAATGTTCAAAAGCTCAAGTCTCTGTGGATATGTTCCTCTTCTCATCTCAATACCAAGATGTTGCATCTTTGAGCTGCTTGCCTCGCTACACAGGTGGTCAAACTTACTTCTACCCTGGCTGGAACGCTGCACGGACTGAGGATGCCATGAAGTTCGCCCGTGAGTTCTCTGACTATCTCTCCTCGGAGATTGGTCTAGAGGCCGTTCTCCGCGTCCGCGCAACCACTGGTCTGCGCATGAGCACCTTCTACGGCAACTTCTTCAACCGTAGTTCCGATCTATGTGCTTTCCCCGCCTTCCCTCGTGACCAGGCCTATGTGGTCGAAGTGGCCATTGATGAGACAGTCACCAAGCCGGTCGTCTGCATGCAAGCGGCTGTCCTTCACACTACCTGCAACGGTGAACGTCGTATCCGTGTCTTGACCCTAGCGCTGCCAACGACCCAGACCCTGGCAGATGTTTACGCCTCGGCTGACCAGCAGGCCATTGCCACATTCTTCAGTCACAAGGCCGTCGAGCGTACATTGAGCAGTGGCCTTGAACCCGCTCGCGAGGCTCTTCAGGCCAAGATCGTGGAGCTTCTGCAGACCTACCGCAAGGAGCTTGCGGGTGGTAGCGTTAGCGGTGGTGGCCTTCAGTTCCCTGCCAACCTGAGAGCCTTGCCTGTCCTGTTCCTTGCAATGATCAAGAACGTAAGTTTTCTCTATTTCGTTTGTGGTGGCTGTTCTATACTAATTTGTCCTTTCTCTAGCTTGGTCTTCGCAAATCTGCCCAGATCCCTACGGACATGCGGTCCGCAGCTCTCTGCCTTCTGTCGACCCTTCCCCTACCGCTCCTCATCCAATATATCTACCCGAGAATGTACTCACTCCACGACATGCCCGACACTGCGGGTGTGCCTGATCCCCAGACCGGCGAAATCCTGCTGCCCCCTCCTGTCAACTTGTCCTCGGGCCGCCTCGTGCCCTACGGTCTGTACCTCATTGACGATGGCCAGACCCAGTTCCTCTGGGTTGGCCGCGACGCTGTTTCACAGCTCATCGAGGATGTCTTTGGCGTCCCTGACAAGTCGCAGTTGCGGGTGGGCAAGCAAACCCTCCCCGACGTCGATAACGAGTTCAACCAGCGTGTGCGGGCCGTGGTTGAGAAGAGTCGGGACCACCGGGCCAAGGGTGTGGGCAGCATGATCGTGCCTCACCTGTACGTTGTTCGCGAGGATGGTGAGCCCGGTCTGCGTCTCTGGGCTCAGACAATGCTGGTTGAGGACCGTGCCGATCAAAGTCTCAGCTTGGATCAGTGGATGGGTTCCTTGCAGGAGAAGGTTTGAGCCCTCTGCTCTGACCATCGTATCGGTCAGCACTGACGATTTGTTCTCAGGTCGTGCAGTAATGAGAAGCTGACCGATTGGTCTTGGACCATGAAATTCGTGTTTTTTTCGCGAGTCCTCCCGCCTGTACCATTACGTTGGGGAAGATTGCGTTTGGGTTTCTATCACGGCGGGCATGTTTGGATTATCTAGTACTAGTAGATCGCTGGGTTATAGTTGAAAGGCGATAGACGCTGATCGCATCTATGAAGAATTAACGGTATTATTTTTCTACTCTATTTTATTATGAGAATTCCCACTACATATGGAAATGGCAAGACCTATGTGAGATGATTCTAGCACTGCTGGGTGGGATTAGTGTAGGAGGATATCACCAGAAATGGTGTCTAGTATATCAGCTAGATATACATACACCTATGCAGATAGGCATTAAGGTATCACAGCTAAGCCTAGCCTCGAATGGTACGCTGACAAGAAAGAGAATGGAGGATGGTAATGCCCATGCCCTCCATCAGCATTGAAACTATCTACAATCTTCCGAGGTAGGAACCTTGGAATCTTCGAATGGGGCCAAGATGACTAAGGATGGTGGAGCCATCCATGGATCCATAGATTCCCTTGGCCAAGAGCCTCATGCTTATATGTTCTGTTCTACCTAGGTACGAATTGTTGCGCTCTCAGCTATATAGCAGGCTAGCAGCTACTCCGCCAAAAGCCGTCCCTGGTTAGGATGCCCTTCGATCGTCCACCCAGAGGTGTTATACTGCGCCACCCACTCGTGGATCTTCCAAAAGTCACGACAGGTATGTTTGACAGCGAAGTTAGGGATCCAGGCGGTGCCGTTATTCTATGAGCCACCGGGACGGGGGATGTGTAAAGTAGATTTGCAACGAGAGTGTTGAGAGATACAAGAACGACGATGATGATAGAAATAGCGGTTGATTTGATCTTGGACGCTTTCTGGACCTTCTCTCTTTGGGAACCCTTGAGAAGAGACTCGCCGAATTCGAGGTTTGATTCCATATTTGGCATTATACTAGCAGAGAAATTGACAGCTCGCGGAGTTGATTCGTACAGTCAAATTGAGTGAGTACATGGTAAACGAATCATTCGTAGCATACCGCTAAGCTGGTTCTGGACCTGGTAGTATAGCCTTGGGGCCACGGATGTGCTGTTCTCCGTGATAGGTATTTTGCTCCAATGTGGTTAAGCGAGGAGTTTAGGATAAGCAAATATTGTTCTCAGGCCTTCTCTTCTTAACGAGGTCACCATGGCTCGTTAGTCTCTGAGTGGTCCTATCGATGACCGGAGGGCTGGACCCAATGTTATATGTGTGTTCAGGAGGATGCCTGGACGTTAGGAAACTGATTGGACCATATCGAATCAAATGATCTAGTTTTTGAAAAGACACCGCAAACTGGGGTGGAATAGTATTATACGGGCGGGCATATGTTCCAATTCAAGTCTAGTAGTAATTGTCTGCACCAATAACGCAATAGGGTGATAACGAGAGCGAGCGCTATCTATATCCTTGCACTCTCGGACCTTTGTTTCTCTCTATCTGGTCACCCCCGCAGCCGGAGGGGACATTTAATTTAACTGCGCGTACGGAGTACGGATCCCCTTTCTACAACTTCCTCGTATTTCTTCTCCGCCATGTTACCCTCGAGAGATGACATAGCGAAATTCATTGCCATCGTTCCAGAGGCTAGCGAAGGGGCCGCCCTTAGGTTGTTGGAGGTACGCCATTTTTATTACTTCTCTTTCCAACTATACTGATGCATCTATCCAAGGAAACGGAAAACATTGACGACGCTATAAGTCGGTATTATGATGTTCAAAACGAGCCTACAGTTCCAAGTTTGCCTACTATGGATGCTGAGGCGGATATGCGGAACTCCCTCCCACCGTATGCACGCTCAGCAATAAGAGGGCTTACACATCATCACACCAATACATTCATTGAAGCTGCCAAAATCCGCTCTATAGATGAAGTACGATATAGAGTCCTTCTATCTCTATCTTGATAAATTGCTAACATTTGTCTGCTCTAATAGCAAGATGTGAAAGCCATCCTACATGCCATTCAGCAGGCCTGTCGCATTTTCAATAGTGACATCGAACCACAGCATACCTCGCAATCTATTAACTGCGACTGCGATATCCACAAATACAAAGACAGGAATTCTGCCCGGCTTGCTGTCCAGGAAATGTGGTCCAAAGCAGTCATGTATCCAGGTCAGCTTTGCCAATTTGACGATATCAGTTGCGTTGTGGCGACGGTCTAACCCCCCTCTTTCTCATCCGAGCAGGTGAATTAGCCTATCATGACAGTCATTCATCGGCTCGCACCATGAAGAATCCATATAGCCGTGTGCCCACGCCTTTTGCAATTACAACCCCCGGCAGTTACAGTACGGCGAAGCCTACTCTATTCGGTTACAACCAGTATATTCAAAAGATTGTACGATTGAATGCAACCCTCAATGCCGAGGCACAGGCGGCCATTGATGCAACAGAACCAACGTCTACCATATGGGATGTCGAAGAGACTTCTACACCAAATGACGCTGACACTACATCTTCTTCAGATATCCAGCAACCAGCTGAACAGCGGCTCACTCATCAAAATAATCCCTCGGGCTCCCCCACGGAAGGCTCCAAACCATCGACATTTGATAGTTTGAAAAGGATGCTATCGAAGAAGACGACAGAGGAGAAGACAGTTATTCACACCAGGGGGCTACGCAAGGCCATCCTAGATGAGGAGGAAGGCAGATGGCCAAATCAAGAATGGCGACAGCTTGTGGCAACATATCAAGAAACAGTTGGAATAGGTACAAAGGTCGCCGATCTTCGTACCCGGCACCCGATTCAGTATTTCCACCTCCTCCGAGCTGGATATTTTGAGCCTATTCCACTGGCTTGGGCAAAATCAATGTCTAATCCTCTCAATTTGTCCGTCAACGCAATGAGTGGGTGGAGAGGAGTCACACCCGGTTGGAGAGGATACAAAGATCTCGCCGAGGAGCGTCTATACTGGGTCATGAATCACACAGAAGGCATTGTTGGGAGTAAGACGAAGCCCGATGTCATCTCTGCGATGAGCATGGCTCGATCTAGGATGGAATCCGCGGTTGAAACACCTATGGAATACTCCTCACGCGATGATATCTGCAAGGTCCAGTCTATCTCCGAGACTTACTCGAAGCAGGTCATGCCTCCTTTCAGATACTTTGGGGAGCCGGCAATTCCTTTAGACGAGACTATAATTCTCCTAGAGGTCTCTAAGTCTATGAATTTTGCACCGCTTCGCCCAAATTATAAGGAGCATATCGTTACAGGCTATTTCACCTCTAAGCAGCCAAAGAGCAAAGGTGAATATCTTCCCCTCCAACCCATCTACATTCGATACTAACATCAGGAAATAGATATCGCCAAGACCATCATACATCGCTTTACTCAAGCAATGATTAATCACGACCACAATCCCCGAGGCTATCAAGTCGTCACATTCGCAGATCAAGCCCGTTATGTAGGCCACATCAACCACCAAAATCTCGAACAAACATGGTCAAAAATTAGATTCGGAGGAGATACTCGACTGATGTTAGGCTGGCAAAGAGCGAAGGAACTCCACTTCCAAAAACACTCGGGAACAGCAATTTACCACCCCATGTACGGGTGGCAAGCTGGCCCACAAACGCCAATACTGAGGCTTCTTATCGTACTCGACGGCGAAGTACCAGACATGAACGAATTCCTGCTCGATCTTCTGGGCCTAAATTGGGTGTATATCACGATCTTCCTGATGGGTCCAGATAGATGTCCAAACCACCATCGCCGTGCAAATGAGCTACAGAGAATCAGCAATACCAATCCCCGTGTCTCGTTCCTAGATGCGCAGGGGAATATACCGGAGCGCTTCATCGCTCATGAATTGTTAAAACGACATCTCCGATACGGTCTTTCGTTCTCTGATTTCGAGATATTGGAGCAAGCGACGATGGATCTACCTTCATATATAGAATAGGCTGCACGTGTTCGTTCAAATGGTCTAAGCTGTCTGGTCTGTCTCGGGAGAATCAACTATCCAGGTCTAATTAACGTCTTTTGTCGTTTGCTGCAAACTACCGTGTTTTTATACCTCTTAATCAAATTAAATTGGTTGCAATAGGTAAGCCCTTTAGTGCTACCGTTCTCAATCCAACAGTTTTTAAAATCTAGCTAAAACAAGAGTCAGCTTTAACCAAAGACCGGGGTTATTGAAGATCGGTGATAGTCTATATATATTAACAGAAACAAGCATTTAAGTACTACTGGGCTATTAGAAGAAGTCCGCGTAGTTTCTAATTTCTATTCTTGAATGTACATGGGTTTTGGCGCCTATTTATGATTAAGCGGAAGCCCTGGGATACTCAGGCCCCTCATAACACGAGAACATCGCACGGCCTACAACCCCGTAGAGAGAACATTATATATAGACCTGTATGACTTATACTTGATTTGCGTGAGATTTAGTCACCGTCTCAGACCCAATTAATGGGATACCCCTTGGGACTAGTGAAACTAGGAATGGTGGGTTCTCCAATCAGGGTGAAACTAGCACCTCCTATGCGGTGGAGCGGGAAAGTCGATTGTGACAAGTTTCGCCAGGTGCAGTAGCGCCGTCCATTGAGCGCGACATGTGAGAGACTTTGGCGCTGTGGCGGAGATCCCTAGATCACTGTATTGATATACTTTTGAGGTACTTTATAATATATGGGTAACTCCAGTCAGTACCAAGTACCCCTCATGTAGTTGTGGAGATAACTCCAGTGATCCAAGGTTCCACGTCCATCAAACCAGAGAAATCAGAGAACTCAGACAGGGGCATTCTCACACTCTCTCTCAATGTCTCTCTCTCTCTCACTCTACTTCCTCCTACACTTCTCTGGGATCAATTATTCCTAGTCTCTCCCAGTTCTTCTCTCTTAATTGACATCAATTTCCGTGAATTTCGGAGTCGGAACCACTTTGTTTCACCTACCAAATTGCTGGAGCCGCTTCAAAGCTCTCTGCCCCACCACTTCCCCTACGGCCCGCTGTTTCTCCAGGTTCACCTCTTCTCATCCTCCTCTCCTTTCTTCTCTGCTTTTCTTACCTGGCTAAAGGACAAGGCGACAAGGTGAGCTCCAATCCAGTCCCGACCCGTGGTGATCCCGCATCAGAGGTTGACCCCGCTTCGGAGCGTCTTGGCTCATCCTCTCCATGCGGGCCAGCATCATCACCGTCAATTCCACTAACATGCCACGTTCTTAGGCTCTGAACTTGATACTGTGATACTGTGGTACCGACCCGACAGCACACCCCCTGATCTTCGCATCCTACTCCGGTTCCCCGGGCCTAGACGCTGTCCCTGTCACATCACCTCCCCCACCTGGAGCTTCGTACGACCAAGGTCCCTTTACCTTTTCTACTCCTCGCCTTGCATTCCCTGAGATCCTGCCGACCTTCGAATCCCAATCCAGTCGAGATTTTGAATACCTTTCTGAGAAACCAATTCGATTGCAGCGCAAACGAAAGTAAGCTTTATTTCCCGCTTTCCGTGCATTGTCGTGGCGTTTGTTCCCCCGCGCTGGTACCTGTCGAGTTGCTCGAGGCTTTCGAGCGATTGACTACGAGTGTTATTGCCCTGCGTTCCCTGGATTCTGAATCGCAAAATTGTGCGCGATTCCCCGTCTACTACTTTCAATCCCCGGTTCCCGTTTTATTTACCCATGGACTGCATTCGACCTTTTTTCCACTGGATCCCACGAATTTTAAAAGCTGACGATTCCCCAAAGGATACCCCTATCAAAGAAACCACTCTCGACATGGTTCAGCCAAACCCTCCCGCGGGAGGATCCCGGAAGATCTCCTTCAATGTTTCAGACCAATATGAAATCCAAGATGTTATCGGCGAAGGTGCCTATGGTGTTGTCTGGTAAGGAGGGCAAGACTCTTTTTGTCGAGGCTTTTCTAACTCCATGTAGCTCTGCCATTCATAAGCCCTCGGGCCAGAAGGTTGCCATCAAGAAGATCACGCCATTCGATCACTCCATGTTCTGCCTGCGTACACTCCGTGAGATGAAGTTGCTGAGATACTTTAACCACGAAAACATCATCTCCATCTTGGATATTCAACGACCCCGTAACTACGAGGGATTCAATGAAGTTTACCTGATTCAAGTATGTCCAAGCTTGCCATCTGACAAGATGCGCATGTATGGGATATACCCGGTTTACTAACAACATTTAGGAACTGATGGAAACAGACATGCATCGGGTTATCCGCACACAAGACCTCTCAGACGATCACTGCCAATACTTTATCTACCAGACCCTGCGTGCACTCAAGGCGATGCACTCAGCCAACGTCCTCCACCGAGACTTGAAGCCCTCGAATCTTCTGCTCAATGCCAACTGCGACCTGAAAGTCTGTGACTTCGGTCTGGCTCGCTCGGCCGCCTCCACCGACGACAACTCCGGATTCATGACAGAATATGTGGCCACACGTTGGTACCGTGCACCGGAGATCATGTTGACATTCAAGGAATACACCAAGGCTATTGACGTGTGGAGTGTCGGCTGCATATTGGCTGAGATGCTGAGCGGAAAGCCTCTTTTCCCTGGCAAGGATTGTATGATTCCACTTCTTCTTTCAAGCAGCAACCACCATAACTAACATGTACATCTAGATCACCACCAGCTGACTCTCATCCTGGATGTCCTCGGCACACCCACGATGGAAGATTACTACGGCATCAAATCCCGCCGTGCCCGCGAATACATCCGCTCCCTCCCCTTTAAGAAGAAGATCCCCTTCCGCGCACTCTTCCCCAAGAGTAACGACACGGCTCTAGATCTGCTCGAGAAGCTGCTCGCTTTCAACCCGGCTAAGCGTATCACTGTTGAGGAAGCGCTCAAACACCCCTACCTCGAGCCATACCATGATCCTGAAGATGAGCCCACTGCACCACCCATTCCCGAGGGATTCTTCGACTTTGACAAGAACAAGGATGCTCTGAGTAAGGAGCAGCTAAAGCGTGAGTTTACCCTTTGTGTCTGATTCTGGTCTTCTCTTGGTATATTTACTAACCTTTTCTAGTCCTGATCTACGAGGAAATCATGCGGTAAATCTGACTTGACTATTTCAAGATATTAAGTTGGCTAGGAGGATGTTGGGTTCTATTCTATTCCGCACGCTCTTTGACTTGACGGCGTGATTTGACACATGTTTAGAGATAGCAGGGCAACTCGAAATGTGATTATAAGTGTTCAAGCAAAACAGTTGATTTGCACTGTAATACCCTGCCTGCATTGCATCTCTCCTATTTTATATACATATAATCCCGGTTCTACATCTAGTTATATACATCCACCCTACACAAGCACACAAAGTATATACTCATACGCACCCATCCACGTCCACCTCTCAAACTCCACTCATAAACTTCTCAATACCCTCCAGCACACCCTCAGGACTAGGCTTAGGCGCACAAACATGCGCCTCAAACCCAAACTTCTCGCGTAGATGATCCCTCGTCGTAGGTCCAATAGTGGCAACAAAGACCTTCCCATTTCCAGTTCCTTTTCCAGAACCAGTTCCAGCAAAAGGGCCTAACCCAAGAACCCTCAACATAGCCTCACATCCCGTCGGCGAGAAAACAACAACCCAAACATCCCCAGATGACTTACCCACCACATCGGCAAAATCCCCTTCAAAAGACTCCATAACACCCGTCTCATATACAACAAGCTCCTCAACCCCAACCCGCTTTTCCGCCGGTAAGGTTTTATCCATTAGTGTTTTCGGGATAATATCCCTCCGCACTTCACCGACAAGAAATAAGAGTGCTGGTTTGTTTGTCGGGTAGAGGGAGTCATAGTGTGAGAGGATGAAATGCGCGAGGTTCTCTCCGGTTCCTGTATCTGCGCCATGGATGAGGGCATCTGGGAGGTGTTTGTCGCGGAGGGTTGTGAGGGTTCGGGCTGTTGCTGGGCCGACGGTGTAGAGGATTAGGGGTGGGGAGGTTTGGATGTTGAAGGTCACTAGATTTGTCCAATTGGTTGCGTTAGTCTGGGTTCTGGGGTTCGTGTTGGAGGTGTTGGATTGCGATGTGGGAGGTGTTGTATGTACCGTCTTTTTCATCTTCGATCATCTGCGCGAATCCTTCGACTGCGCGCTGGCTGGTGAAGATTAGACCGCCATATTTTCTCGGGGTTGAGGTATTGGTGTTGAATGCGCCGGTGCGGAATTGGTCGCGGACTTGGGTGAGGTTGTTTTTCAGGAAGCGGTGTTCGAGGACTGGGATGAAGGTTGGGGTATAGTTTTGTGCGGAGAAGAAGTCTTCGTAGCCATCGTGAGGAGAGGATTTTGTTTTTAGGAGGAGGATGGGTGTTGGAGACATTGTGGGTGGTTGGGGTGTGAACGTGAAGGTGAAGGGGAGGGTGAGGATTAGAGGTGGGATTGATATGATGTTATCGAGTGCGGGGAGCTCTGGGGAATTGAGTTTTTGATATTGGACCTTTATTGGATCTTTTTAGGAACATTGAAGGCAATGGGTTCTATACAAGTTAGAACTTTAGTTTACGGGCTTGTCTACTGGTCTACTGTATACTATGTTCGTACACCACTCATCCACAAAGGAAATCGACTTTGGTCTAGGAAGGCTTATTTACACATTAAAAACACAAACTACTGATCGTCCAGCACGTGCAGGTACCGCTTGTCCTCCTGGCGCTCGCGCTCCGTGGAGGGAGGTAGATCGTAGTAAGAGGCACTACGGTAGCCCTGCAGGTAGTGGAAGGTCAAGTTGGCCAGATCGGCGGTCTCCTCCATGCCGAGGTCCTTGAAGGTCTTGGCTGTCGGGTCAATGACCTGGTCGATGAACTCGCGCTCCACCTCGTCGGCGGACAGAGTGTGCCACCACAGGGCCTTGTTGATGTAGTGGGCGAAGGGCTTGAGAAGAGCCTTGGGGACGTTGATGTGACGGCGCTTCTTGATGATTTCACGGTCGACCAACTCGGCGATCTCGGCGGTGGAGTAGTTCTTGGGGCCGTACAACTCAAAGGTTTGGCCGGCGGTGCTGTCATCGTGCAGCATGCGCTCCAGAGCGGAACCGACATCGATGGCCTGGATAGGGTTAGTTCAATGCAGCTTGTCCGTCTTGGAGGGGATAACTCACGTGAACGGGCCAGTAGCGCTCCTGCATGTGGTTGGAGGTGAAAACGTTGCCCACCTTGGCCAGCTTGTGGAGCAGGTTGTCCTCGAAACCGAACATGGGTGCGGGTCGCACGATTGTAGTCTCGGGGTAGATCTTGCGGACGATCTCCTCACCCCATGCCTATATGTCATCAGCACTCTCGTTCTTGTATAGTTTCCGTGGATATGCTAACCTTGGTACGGAAGTACTCGGAAGGCGAGTCACGGCTAGCGTTGTAGGAAGAAACGTGGATGAAGCGGTCGACATCGTACTTGGCAACAGCGTCGGCAATACGTTCGACACCGTCGACGTGGACATCCTCGTAGGAGAAGTTCCTGCTATCGTCAGAAACCACGTATTCATGTATATCACACACTTCAACTCACTTGGTGGGATATTGGCGACCGACAAGGTTGTAGACAACATCGGAGTGACGAACGCTCTCCTCAATGGACTGGGTGTTGCGCAGGTCGTATTCCTATACTGGAGTCAGACACCCCCCTCAATTTCAACAAAATATGCGGTAGTAAGGCTCCATACCATGAACACAACACGTCCAAGATCACCAGTGACCTTCAAGTGTCTCTTGGCCATCTCCTCACGGTAAGGAATGACAACGGTGCATCCCTGGCGAGCTGCGGGCCGTTAGTGCATGATCCAATTGCAGTACAGCAGACCCTCAACCTACCAAGCTTGTTGACAATGTAGCGACCGAGGAAACCAGTAGCACCAAAGACGGTCGCAGTGTGACCTAGAATCGTGTGAGCATGTCGGACCGAAGGGTAGCGTCAAAATGGAAAGGCTTAGCTACCTCCAATGGAAGAACTATAGGAAGAGCGCGTCAGCAAGCAAGAACAATAACCCTATCCACAGCACAATTGATCACTTACCGGCCACCCTGGACCTTCACGAGGGGCTTGCCAGTCCGGGTGATGCGGACATCCTGAAGGTTGCGCTGGAACTGAAGCTGAACCCGCGGGACTGGCACGAAGGGGCGGGCCCCCAGGGCAGTGTTGATGGTGCGAGACTTCTGCATGGTCTCTGGCTGAGTATATCTCTCGAGACCAGCGAATTGGAGCGGAGTGTTGCCAAGAAGGGCGTGGTGATGTGCGAGGGTCTTTCGCAGCGTCAAGTCGGAAGAACCGCACGGGACTATCGCGCTAGTCCTGTTTCGGGAGTACGGACCACCACTTTAACAAATCACTTTCTCGTCTTTCTTTCTTTTTGTTGTTTTGACTCGGTTGATATAGTGGATTCTAGTTGTTCATTTGGTTTGGAGTTAGTATACTAACTAAAATCTATGGGCTTGCCCTATCTACAACCTCTGCAGGAGAAAATCACCGTTTTGATCTGACAACACCTGGACTGTGATTGGATGTTCCCCGGGCTTTATTCATCCATGTCTATCCAGCAAGTATCACTACGTTATGTTCTTCTATACATATGTAGGCAATTGAATTATAGCTAGTGGATGTCCATGTTGTTCTTGATGACCGTGCTTGACCATTATTATTCATTGGTGCACTTGTATTGGGGCTGTTCTGGTCTAGAATGTAAATCTCGCCAACCAGCTTTACATGACTATTGCGTGGATAACCAGTTTATAATAACAGGTTGATAGTAACAAGCAAGAATAGAAGTTATACAACCACATATCAACATATTCACCATCGTTTACAGGTTATGTACCATGAGGGATAAGAATGTTACTAAGGCCGTCTACCCTCCAGGACTGAAAGTATGGTATACACCCAGACTGCACATATATACATTCCTTCATCCATCGACCAACCATTTCACCAACCAATCAATACCCTAAAAATATGCATACAGTCATGTTGCATGAGTATTTGCACCCCAGTACTTCCGTCACTTCACCGCTATTCTATACCGCCTACCTATTCCTACTAGTATACTACGCGACTACGCGCAGCGCGCAGTATACTAGTATTATACAGGCTATTACCCCCTCTTCTTCCTATTTTTTTTTACCTTTCTAACTCTTTCTCTATACTCTACTACTATGGCCCGTGGCCCAGAGCTTCCACCGCACGTTCGCGAGCGTATATGTGAGCTAAAACGCTCAGCAAAATGGGGTGCTAAACGTATTCAAAAGCACGCGTACCCTCATATCCCTCTTTCAACTATTCATTACACCTTACGCCAGGAAACAAAGCGCTCCCATGGTATCTCAATGCCTCGCCTTGGTGGTCCAAGGAAGCTTACTGAAGAGGACCGAGATCGTGTGTATGATGCTATTCAGTCCCGTCCTGATATTACGCGTGAGGATCTACTTGCTGAGGTCGATTATAAGGTTAAAGCGCACTCAATCTGGCGTTTAACCCACGAAATGGGCCTTCGAAAATGGCGGAAGATGAATCGACCCTATCTTACGCCTATTCACGCTGCAAAACGTCTTAATTGGGCCCTTACCTATCGCCACTTTACACCTGAGGACTGGAAAAGGGTCTTTTGGTCGGATGAGACTACAGTTGAACGTGGACAAGGTGCTCGGAAGGAGTGGACTTTTATTCCTCCTAAAGATCAGCTTCAAAATCGGAATTCCGGTATTCAAATGACACTCTCGAAAGGGAAGCAGTCAAAACAGATGTTTTGGGCCTGTTTCTCAGGTGCTCCACGGAAAACTGGCCTTATTCCTCTATACGGAGATCCAAATGCAGAGCGGAAGGGTATTACAAAAGAGGTTATTTATAGTCTCTACCGTGGTATCCTTCCTGCCTTACTTGCAAATGAAGATGCTATCTTCCAACATGATAACGCACCTACACACACTGCGTATATAGTTCAAGAACTACTACGCGAGATAGGTGTAAATGTTATGGATTGGCCTCCTTATTCACCTGATTTAAACCCGATTGAGAACCTCTGGGCGTTATTAAAGGCAGATATCTTAAGGCTAAGGCCTTGGTTACGAGAGATGCCTAATAATCAGGAGACCTGGGCCGAGCTAGTAGATGCAGCGCAGTATGCATGGGAGAATCTGACAGTGCACCACTTTGTAAATTTAGCAGAGACTATGCCGCACCGGGTGGAAGAGGTTATTAAATACGAAGGTTGGCATACTAGTTACTAGCTAGTTAGTTAGGTGTTTCTAAATGAGAAGTTTTAAACGGCAGAAAATAAGTGGGGCCTAAGCCTTCCGAGGTACTGGGGTGCAAATACTCATGCAACGCCACTGTACATGACAAAAAGCATGATCGTATATGAAAAAGAACTGACATACATACACAGTTAAAAAAAAACAAAAATAAATGACCGCTGTGTCATTGTGTTTCCAAAGATTTATGAGAGGAGTTTTGTGGGCAAATCACGGCCATCTCTGGTAAAAGGCAAGAAATGGGTTCTGCACTAACTTGTCCCACTCCTCGGATACTAAACTTTTAATTGTCTTATAATATACCCCCATTGCTATATTGGTGGGGCCCGGATACGAAACGGTCGGAGTTCGAACCTCGTCAGTAGATTTAATTTCGTATGTATTATTATATGTGACCCCGCATATTAATTTACTATCGAGCTTCAATTCGAATTCATTTATCAAGACCTCTTAAAAACACCGTCCAAAATGTCGTCCGCTGCCTGTATCTTCTGCAAGATCATCAAGGGTATGTCTAGTCTTCACACCATATCGACATGTCCACACATGAATGTCTATCGCAATATTCAACTCGACACGTCATAGCAAAACATGGGTTGACTGACATGCTTCTTTGGGGGTTCTACAGGAGATATCCCTTCATTCAAGCTCTTTGAGAGCGAGAAGGTCTTCGCCTTTCTCGACATCCAGCCGCTGAGCCGCGGTCATGCGGTGCGTATTCCATATTTCATACGAGTGCTCTTTCCGAGGTCCCCGCATCCGGCGTGTTACTCGTGGCGGGGGCGACGGCGAAGTTGTCCAAGCTGCGGTGATAGCCTCAACCAGCAATTTAGGACATGGTAATTTAGAATAAAGGAAAGAAACTCATATTGACACCATGTACAGCTTGTCATCCCCAAATTCCACGGCGCAAAGCTGACCGATATCCCCGACGAGGACTTGCTTGAAATCCTGGTAAGTGGATGAGAGAACAACCCAGGGCGACGAAGAAAGTGAAAACGAGTGTCAATTTCTTCAATCTCTGGTTATTGAGTTCGATTACATTGCTACGAGGACCTTGGGGGATTTCGACCTTGTGGGAAATCCCGCAAGGTCCCTCTGAGACCCGGAGCTGGATTGGGCAACAGGGTCATAGCTAACCGAGATGTACGCCGGCAGCCCGTCGCGAAGAAGATTGCCAAGGCCAGTGGCGCCGAGGATTTCAATATCCTGCAGAACAATGGAGCAATTGCCCACCAGGTTGTTGGTCATGTGAGTTTGAGTTGAGGATATCTCTAATAATTGTGGCGGTACTAACTAGACCTCTCCAACAGGTTCACTTCCACATGGTATGCTCATCTTTTGGATAATATTTGGTCCTATGCTAGAATCCACCTTCGGAGCATACACTGACAAGACAATAGATCCCCAAGCCCAACGAGAAGGAGGGTCTGACCATTGGCTGGCCTGCCCAGGAGACGGATATGGATAAGCTCAAGGCTCTTCACGAGGAGATCAAGTCGAAGATCTAAATGGCTATGGCTTAGGATAATCCTCAAGCGAACTCGATAAGAATGGAAACCGAGTTGTTTTGATGATTTAGAACACCGTAAACCTTTTGTCGAAGGATTGTAGTGCTAGTTTGAGTAGATGGAGTTGCTAGAAACACCGAAGTAGGAAGTCAGTTTAGATATCAGAAGCTTTGCTCTTAAATGTATACCAAAATGTTCGTATATCCTCTAGTTAACAAGAACCAAGTCTGTATGTTACAAACATGCAAAATCAAGACTCTAAATATCTAGTAGGTAAGCATGGAAATCAACATTACACATATCGCCCAACTCATGTACCCTGCACAGCTTATGCCGATGCACTCTCCGCTTCTTTCTCCGAGCCAGGATAGAAGTTAATCTTCCCACCGCCCTGGACAATATTAAGTCTGTCGTAGAGCGAACGAGCCCGGACATACGGGTCAAGAACCCAGTAGTGCGTACGCAGCTGCTCGATCAAACCCTTCCGCTTCTCCTCAGCAGCAGAGGCAGCGTCAGTCTCCTTCTTGAAGCTGGCGCGGATCCACTCAACGGTGGTATCCTGGATCTCCTGGGCGAGCTTCTGGCGCTCGGCCATCAGGGTATCCCGAGTTTCCTTGTCGGCCATCTTGGGGTTCTCGTTCTCCGGCACCTCGACGTATTTGTATTCCCAGTCTTCGTCACCCTCGAGCTCCTTCATGATCTGGCTTGGGTGGATGAAGTTTTCGAGATCCTGGCGGTTCTTCGTGAAGTGGATCTTTGCTGCCACAACTGGGTCGAGCCAGCCTTTGATCACGCTCCAGATGCCTAGGTTGGGTTAGAAAGGGGTGTTTCGTATGGGGTGTTAGGATACGGACTTGAGAATAACCAAGGGGCCTTGTGGATGAGCACTGCTCCGAGAGACTCGGGGTAGTTGGCTTCGAAGCACTTGATCATGAATTTCACGGGGGCGTAGTCCTGGGAAATATGAGTATATAGCGTGGACAACGTTGAGACAAAAAACTTACCATGTTGGCCATTCCGAAGTCCGTCATATCGAAGACAATAGTCTGCAAGAGTCAGCTACCGAAACACAATCCTTATATCAGGGTACTTACCGCAGTCTCGATCGGCGGCGCAAGCAACAAACGCGCAGTCTCAATAGTATAAACAGTAAACCGCTCCAAGCCTTCATTATCCTGGTCACCAGCCTTATGCAAGCGCACACGGACAACACAGATGGGTCGACCAGCGCGATCAACACCGTGTAGGAAACTCTTACCCATACGCATCTGCGTCAGGAAATCATCACCCTTCTTCTTCTCCTTGGGATCAGAGCCCTGCGACATCTTCACAGCCGACGCCTCACCGTTGAACATGATATCGTCGTCGACATGCATTTCCAGCAGTCGCCAGCGCATCGTGGAAATCAACATAACAAGCGCCTTCTTGGTATCCCACTTGCGCGCACGCAGGAACCGCAGCAGAAGCGAGTCGGGGTTATCACCCTTAACCATGCTCCAGAACGCTGTGCGAATCTCCTCGGGCTTCATGTCCTCCAGTGCCTGCTTGAACTCCTTGGACTGGCCGTACTTGTCGTCGCCATCGGCGACGCTGATTGAAGATACGCTAGAAGCGGTGCCGCTCTTCGTGTCCTCGTCGTCGGCGCGGCCGAAAAGTCCCCACCGGCCCTTGGACTTCTTCTTATCCTGGGCTGGGGCGGGTGTCGCGGCTTCGCTGGTGGCGGTGGATGGGGGCGCTTCGAGTCCTTCAAGTGTGAGGCCGAAGACTTTCAGTGTCAGGACCCAGAATTCCTTCAGCTTGACTTCTTGCTCTGGGGTGAGGTTCCCGACTGTTCCGGGGGCAGGTTCGGCGGGCATGGTCGCGAGGGTATCGATTACTCCGAGGGAGGGTTTTTGAGGGAGTAGGGGCTGCGAAGTGAATGTGTCTTTGGGATTGAAGTATCTGTCCTGGAGCCAAGCGCCTCCTCCAACGATAGCGAGTGTAAATGTAAGAGTCCAAAAAGATGAAGCCTTCTGGTGTTCAGGGTACGTGGAGAATGGTCGCGCGAATGAATACCGAGCGACAGGGAACTTGGCCGAAGGATAGAGACGGCGTAGGATAGTACCACGCATAAGCAGTGTAATTGAGGTGATATGGTGATATGAGTGAGCCACTAGGTCTTAGCCCTGGGAGGGAGGGAAGAAAATGCGAGAGCGGAATCAAGGATATGACGATGCGGGGAAGATCATCTCCTAAAATAGATAGATATGTGGTCTAGAATAATGTATTAATTTGAGACATTGATTCATATTTACTTTGAAGTCCATCACTAGTATATATCTTGTACAATCCACTTTTCATCGCAAAGTTGCAAGTATAAAAGTGTCGCGTGAGAGATCTTTCCGGGGGAGATCAACAATCCCAAACATAACCCACTCAACATCACTCGGACAACCCACCTGTTTCGCAATAACAACGCCTATTATTGTTGTCTCATTGTCTCTCACCAACACATTGCATTCTAAAACACATCACAGACATGGACGCACCTCGATCATCATCGCGCCCGAGACCCTCATCCAGGCCCACAACCCCTCTACGCCCCAGCTCGCGCTCTTCATTACGGGAGGCCCACGGATATGGGAATAGCATTGGAAATGCAGGATACACACAACCCGCCATCAATGCCTTGGAGCCTCAGTTCGCTGAGCTGGCCGATTCGATGGCAGATCTCGAGGCCAATTTCATGCACTTGCAGCTGATGCATGAGAGCCTGACGCGCTTCAGTGAGAGTTTTGCTAGTTTCCTCTACGGATTGAATATGAATGCGTTCTGTGTGGATTTCCCAGAGGTATGATCGCAGACGCGTCGCCGATAGTTATGGCAGTAGTGACAGTGCGTGACTGGGTTGCTGATTCGTTCGATGCAGGCTCCGATTCCAGACTCGTTCAAAAAAGCTAAGCAGGATGAAGAAGAAAAAGGTGCGGACGCTCTCTGTGGGAAATACCTGGATCTAGTGGTCGGGGTTTGCTAACAGCCATCCAGAGGCGGAATCAGAACCAACACGACCGATTGATGACGGCGAGATGACCTTTATGTGAGTCCAGAGAGCGATGCGACAAATCCTCTACAGGAGAACACTTAAGCTAATGCGTTCTTACGTTATAGGACTACGGATACAACCTTTGTCGAGAATCCCTCGAACACCACCACCACCTCCTCCTCCTCCTCTAGACCGACGTCCAAGTATGCTGCGGGCTCACGAGTATCGTCGCGTGGCACTGCCCGTGGTGCAGCAACCAGCCGGTATACTACACGAGGCACTGCGCGTGGCGCTCGTCCCAGCGCACTGCCTCGGGGCAGAGGAATTGGGACTCGGTAAAGAGCTGGACAGTCAGTTCATGCTATATGTCTGACTATTGGCGTCCAAGAGCTGGACCTTTGCCCCCAGCTTTCACCTACAATGGGCTAGCGCATCTCCCTTATGATTTCTTAGAAATGACCATTGAATGAAAGTATACCATGTCACTCAGAGGTTGTGCAACATTAAAATCAACCCTATATACTTTAATACCAAATAAATACTTCCTATCCAAAATAAACAAATAAATCACGAAGACCTGCTTCTGCCAGCTTCTGCCATTGAAATTGCTTGTCCGATCTCTTATCCGGCGGTAAATCGGTAAATCGGGGTCAGGCGAAAAACCACCGCCCGATGGCGAACTCACCTCCACCCGACTACTTTTGAAACCTACAGGGAACCTTGACCCCATTCGTTGGAGAATAGACTTTTATATTTATATTCATTGCTTTTGAATAGGGTCTTGTTATCTGAACTTTGGCTGTAACGTCAAATCAGGTCATTCGCAACCCTTTGTGGACTGTATAGCTTCTCTCTGTTCGTCTGCTATTGTCCCTATTCACTTGCTTTTCGTAAGTCCAATTGTTCTGTGACTCTCTGATTGATCATGTTCATTGATTTCTATTGTTTATACAGTGCAATGCTGGCCCTATTCAGAAAGGGTCCTTGAGGCTGTACCGGGTCTCTTTATACCCAGCCTTTCTCTCTCCCTTGGATAGCTCTCTTTCAACCTCCTCTTCTTGTCTCCACGTGGATAGAAGTCTGGAACTTCTATTAACGTGTTTTTACTCACATATTTTTGTGTCGGCTTTTGAACGACCCTAACCTTCTCCATTCCATCCTATCTCTCTTACTCTCTCTCTTCTCATCCAACCATCCTAATGTCGCTCACTATGGCAACCCTCGATTCGGTCCAGCTTCTTTCCGAAGCAGCTTTTGGCTGTGGTAAGAATTGGGAATTGCCGTGACTCATTCATGCCCAGCTGACCTCCCGCTAGTACATCTTGCGTCTATTCTCTCCAAAGACGAGAAGACTGCTGGCCAGTTTAGAGAGGCATTCTGCAGGCAATACAAATTGCTAGCTCCGTTCTCAAAGACAGATACGGTAGCTGCTCCAACCACTGGCCTCCGAACTGTTGAGTCCCTCAAGCCAAAGTATCACTGTTTGAGTTGCCCAGAAGTATGTCTGGGTTCCAAGCGAGCGGAACATACTGCGGCGACTGGGCATGCATTTTGTAAGTCAATGGCCTTTGACTGATCGGGTTGTTTCACGCTTACACAATGGCAGACCTCGAGTCTCGCAACCGCTTTGTCTTTTGTGAGAAGTGTGTCGATTTTATCTATGACCACACCCTGGACAGACTCCGTGGCCCTTCTGGCAAGTTTGAAGCTATCGGTGAGTCTCGAGCAATTCCAAATTCATCAACTTGTGGACATCTACTAACATCTGGTAGATGGGCGATCTATTTGGGCTGAGGACTCGGCCTCTGAGGTCTACGTTAAGAACAATGCTTACAAGAACCCATGCGCCATCCGCGGCGCTCGTGGTGTCTGGAACATGGGTCAAACATGCTACCAGGCTTCTATCTTACAGGCCATGCTGCACGACCCTAGCCTCACTGCCTATTTCCTGGGAGGCGGCCATGATGTCCACACATGCATGATCAAGGACTGTCTCGCCTGTGCAACGGCTGAAGTCTTCATGGAATTCAACAGCGCCGATAAAACCGAAGCAGTCTCCGCAGCCGTGCTTCTTCACCATGGTTGGCAGAAATCCAAGGTACGTCGAGGTTCAACTTAAAACAACAGAACTTGCTAATTAGTTTGCAGGAAATGCGTGGATATCGCCAGCAAGACGCCCATGAATACTTCCAATTCCTTGTCAATGAGCTGCACTCATCCACTCCCGGGCACGTGGAGAGCTATGACAAGCCATGCAACTGCTTCTTCCACCAGATGTTCTACGGCGAACTGCGCAGCAGCGTCATGTGCCACAAATGCGGCCAAACCACAAACACCCATGACCCCATGGCCGATCTTAGTCTTGATGTGCAGCAGCAACACAAGAAGCGCAAGCTCGGTCGCTCTACTTCTTCTACTACTGGAACCCTCCTCGGCTGCCTGGATAGCTTCACTGCCCCTGAAGATCTCCACGCCGATGCTGCTTACCACTGCGAGAAGTGTGGTAACACTCCCCAGCGGGCTTCAAAGCGCCTGCAGATCCGCAAACTCCCTGTCATTCTTTGCATGCAGCTAAAGGTTTGTTTGGTTTTCTGACTGCCTTGAAATGATGATTCCATGCTGACATTTGTATAGCGTTATGAACACTCCTCTAACTCTTCTGAAAAAATGAACGGTCATATCGACTTCCCTCTGTCCGTGAACATGCTGCCCTACACTGTCAGAAAGGACAACCTCCCTGTTGACATGTCCAATTACATGTACGACCTGTCCACCGTCATTGTCCACCAAGGAACAATGGACTCTGGACATTACTATGCCTATACCCGTATTGACAACGACAAGGTTTGTTCCACTACCTAACATTTGTCTCTTGTGTTTGTGCTTTGCTAATGAATTGCCTTTATAGTGGCTACTTATGGACGACAATAAAGTCACCATCGCCGGTGTGGCGGAAGTCCTCCGCCAGGATGCCTATCTCCTGTTTTATAGCGCCCGCCATCTCCGGGCTGAGAAGGGGAAGAAGTAAATTCCATACGCACAGAACAGACCGCAGATATGATTTAGTCCAATTAATAAGTCTCATACGTCGCTGGTCACTTCATTCCTTCACATATACTGATATAGGACTATCTTATTGTAGACCTAAAAAGCTAGTAGAAGACTTCAGGAGCCCTGGACGTGCACAGGATACCAGCTAATCCTGATGACAGGGAAGACAATTCACATTTTATATCGTTCTCTAGCTACTAGAGCGATTTCTTTAATGTTGCAAGTGAAGCGGGAACCCACAATTTCAGCCAGTCGTCCTCGTGGCCTAAAACCAAATCTCTCAGTGTCTAGTTCGAAACCGATCCCATTGTTCGCCCCGCCCCAATCTAACTCCACTCGGAGACACTGGAAATGTCAATGTTGTTGAAAGTAAAAACTATTCAACTAGCCCCCCTGATTGATAGCAAATCCGTCAATTCTAATTTGTAGCTCTCGGTCTCGAAGCACTGGAATTCTAGGCTCTGAAGCACGGATTTGCCTTCCCAAATGAGTGGTTTCTAACGAAGCTGGAGTAGGTAGGCTATATGAGTGGCCCAACAGAGCTGATTGTGGTCAAAATGAGACTAGAGAGATACTGAAGCGAGCAAAGTGTGGTCGATTTTGAGCCAATGATGATGAGGCCTGATGTCGGTATATGAGCGGCTGTAGTACCTTCTTGGTGTGTCTTCTTGAGGTGTTAGGTGTCAGATAGTAATATCGAAACGCCGTTAAGAATATGTAAGTGTATTAACATGGTAAGTGGTCATTGCGATCAGATGCCGAGTCGAGGATTCTTTTCAGTCCGGCATTGAAGTTCATAGTATATTTCTGAGAGCGTGTGGGTCATGTCGAAAGGAACACTAGACAGACTTCCATTTCTTTGTCAACTGGTATTTTATACAGGTCCCCTTTCGAAACCACGACCTTGCACCAAGCTTCTGTTTACTTCAGAAATTTTGTTGGCAAGGGCAAAGTGCATCCTGATAACCAAACAGACATGCAGTAATGGACGGCTCGGATTCAGGGCCCATCAGGATATAGACCTGTAAGGCAGGATGAGTGCACCATGGGCACTGAAACCATCAGTTGACAGCCATCATTCTCACAGATATTGGCTCTGGAGCTGAATGGATGGCATGAGAGTGGATTAAACAACTACGCTCGAGGACCTCGAAAGAATGCTATCTCTAATATGAGTATTTCTAATTCCAGTTTTGTCTGCGTGTAGACGCTCTGTGGGGATTTGTTTGACTTCTTTTGTTCAACTGGGAATGGTTGGTATATATACCTGACAGATTCCGTCAACTCGGTCATCCACAAGCTTACTCTTCTGTTGAGTGCTTCCTCGAAGCGGGTTGGGGCAACCATGTCCATACGCTCCTCCCTCAATATTTAATCGTCGCATTTCTGGTGCACTCACTTGACGTGGTGTTATTGACTGATGTTAGAGCATGGATTGCATAAGGTGTGGTTGTGGGTATCATTCGAGATTAGTTGGCCGGTGGAAATGGGAGGATGGTATTGAGGATGCTGGGGCTCTCGGGAGATGTGAGTTTCCAAGGTAACAAGAAAAGAGGAGAGACGAATGGATTTGTATTCTCTGCAAACGACTTGGGCTAGCTAAATAACTATTGCCAGCCTGACAAACAATGCATACGTCTCAACATACTGGGCACACACACCAATACGTAAGGGGACAAAGATCGTTTTAGTCCAATGTGCTCCATTAGGGTGCTTACCTTCTCTCTACTATGTTCTCCCCGAACTAATGATTTGTTGAAAGCATGACCTTTTCCAGAATTGCTTTTTTGCCTCTTTATGTTAATCACCATGTTTCTTCGACAGTCTTCCATGGTTACAAGCGGCAACATCGACCCTCCGATGTGCTTTCCTGTGCTTATTATGATTATCCCAAAATGTGTCATAAAATTGACATTTTGACCTTGCCCCGATCCTCATATCTAGTCTAGCCTAGTGGTTTCATGACTGTGGGGAAGAAGAAGCACCCCGGGTCTTTGGAAACGGATAGAGACAGCGATAGAAGGGCGCTAACTCAAGAGGAGGCGAGTTTCTTTAGCTGTACATGAAGGATGTTAATATCTCATCCTATTTTCGAAGTACATAAATTCAAAGGATAGTTACTGTTGACCCTGCTATATTACAAAGTGATGGCTTTATGCACATAATATTATGAATCCCGCCACTAAAGCTAGTATGTTATATGTACAGGAGCAGGTTATATTATCTTTGTGGATTTATTGCTCTAATTAATTTCAAATTCATGTCAAACTATCTGTCAATAGCACGCCCCAAATAGAAAGGTCAGTTAAAGACATCAATCTTGAAAATATTGAAGTATAAGATTTAAAGCCTGAGGCACCGAGATGTGGTGATCGCCTTAGTCACATGATCCACCAAAAAAAGCTAGCGCAACCCAAGCGAGTTGGCCCGTGCCCTATTCCCCATTGGGGCAGCACACAACGCAAATTCCAACCCTAACTCCTGTCTCCGTTCTTAACGCCCAACGCCAGCGACCCTCGTCCCGTCAACAACCCCGTCAACTCCCAGGTCCCGCCTTTAAACCTTCAAGATGACTCACGAGAGCGTTTGGTACAGCCGGCCCCGCAAGTAAGTCGAAACCGCACGCACACACCAGGCACTATATCGAAAAAACGAGCGAGAAGCTAACAACAATTTCGATAGGTACGGCAAGGGCTCCCGCGAATGGTGTGTTTACCCTACTACAATCCCCCGATGAACGATCCAGTCGACACCGAGAAAGAAACTTGGAGGAGGCCTGGATGGAATCGAAAATCGATATTTAGAAAAGAAACGGACTTGCTAATATTTGTGCGCCTTCAGCCGTGTCTGCTCCCACCGCGCCGGTCTGATCCGCAAGTACGGAGTAAGGAGAAACCGATACCTGGAGCATATTGCGTATTGCAATATGTGACGTGACATGGAATTGTGTGGCTAATACGGATGGTTTTAGATGAACATCTGCCGTCAGTGCTTCCGTGAGAAGTCCACCGACATCGGTTTCACCAAGGTTCGTTTCAATTCCTCGCTCGACAGTCCCATCCGAACCCATTCGAATATCACACAAACACCTTCTTCCGACATGAAAATCCAATCGACAATCGACAAATCTGCCACCACTATCACTACCACTACACATACACCCTGCAAAAGCACAACACTAACCACAAGTTTCTCAACCTACAGTACCGCTAAGCGACCAAAAAAACTGACTCCCTCCTCTCGAACTGTTCGCATCCATGAAATCCATCCACGCACCCGGCTCGACTACGGTAGCGTCCAGTGGAGCAATGTTTCAGACGAGCTCAAAAATGGCGTCTTTGATGTTTTTGTGAATGGAGGAATAGACATCGGGCCTGCGTGTCCGGTGTCTCGGGGTTGCGAATCACCAGATCTTGGCTCCGAGGGGAGGATTTGGGGTTGTTGCATGGAGTGTCTTGAAAAACGAGGATTTATGTTATTTCCCTCATCCTGGTTTTTTCTTAACAATTTCAATGACGGAATTTTTTCTCTGGGAATCATTTCTGCTCCGGCTTGCCGTACAACTTGCTCATGATCTGGATGAGCGTCGCATGCTTTCGCCTGGCTATTCTTCTCCCTGGATTTGGTGTAGCTTTTGATGTGTGGCTAGGTGAGCCTATTGGGGTGCACCGATGATACTTGGGCCCGCGAATTCTTCGTAGCGGCTTCAATGTCGGCAGATCAGATACATTTGGTCCGTTCTGCTTATAAGCACGTCCTGGTGCCTCGGCTGGATGAACAATCTAGATGATAGCACATGCGTTGTAGGGCCCTTTATGGCATCACTATCAAACAATAGATCATTCTTATGCATCAAGGTACTAGGTACTCTTTGATGAATGAAACTGACATGTTCTTGTGAACTTTTAGATGTACATTCATACGTATCCATGGATATATTTACCTAGGTATATATGCATATGTCCCCCCATTCTTTAATCATTTCGTACCTAGAAGAATAGATTTAGTTGCGAAATGAGCGGTGAGTTAGATGTCTTTTCTTCAAGATCCTTCTTATTTATTCTACCTACCAACTGGGCTTTTTCTACGGAGCAATTAAAACTCTAGGAATGGGAGATTATATACAAAAGGACATCCTACTTATCATTATCAATTATCAATCGTCAAAGGTTATACACCTAATACACCTATAAAGACATACATGACAACCTTGGAAGTATAAGATGTACCTCCCGAGGTCCAGGTCCTTAGCCAATAAGCGATTATGCTTAGCACCTCCTACTATGGCATGCAGTAGCCCACTGCTAAATCGAATTCAGGGGCGTGTTGTCCTGCGCGACTATGGTAAACCATTAACAACGCAAGCTCTCGCCCAGCCTTACTTGCCGCATTGAAGGGCAGCATTACAGGACATCAGTCTTTACAACAGCAGGAATCCTTCACCGAGATATTTCAATCGATAACACCATGATCAACGAAGATAAAGAGAACCCTTCATGGCCGTCATTCTTGATTGATCTTGATCTGGCCATCAGAGAACAGCGAGTCGATGTCTCGGGAGCAACTGGAAAGACCGGCACAAGGCCATTCGTAGCAATTGGCGTGCTTGGCGAGAAGCATTCTTCTGGGTGCTCTTTTGGATTTGCATCCACTGCGAGGCGCCAGGCAAGGGACGAGTTGTTCCATGGTTTGACCAATGGAACTTTATGGATATGAGGATGTTAGGTGCTCTGAAGAAAGGCGTGATATCCGATGAAGCGGATTTTGTGATGATCGTGAAGGATTACTTCACGAGTACTACCGGCCACTGATTCCATGCGTTAATACACTTCGGAAGGCGGGTTTTCCTTATAAGAGGTGGGTGCAATAAGAGACAGGATTGTATGATCAAATAAAAGAGATCCTACGGGCCGCCCAAGAGGCCTGAGTCGAAAACAGTCCGTCACAGAGCCACAATGTCACCGTTGTGTGATCATCCTTTGGGCTATAACACCAAGAAGGGAAAAAACGGTCTTCAGTATAATGTCTCTCTCATATCATGAATCAAATAGATCGGATTCCAATATGAAATAGTAGTCAGGCTGCGGGGTCTCGGGAGCGCTTCAGAGGTAGTGTATACTCCGTATATACTATGTGGTTTAGCGTCTTGTACAAAGTACTTCTAGCCTGAGAGTACTTTTAGTCAATCTGCAACTATCCAACTGTATGCGTGTCCGTGGACAAGTCCTGCACCCTTGGCCACACGGGATCTCGAGGTATTCACACTGTGCTCATTGGTCGCCTGTGATTCCCATTACCCCTGGGAAACGGCAAGATGAGAGCCGGGGTGCGGATAGCAGCTGTGCCGGACTTCCGATTAGTCAGGCTTCTCAACTGGGAAATATTTCTTGGAGCTGTACTCCGTGGACGTGTAATATTTGATCAGTCAAAGCTTGGAGATTTCACGGAACTATCCACGGATAAAGGTCTATATATTTGTGATGTTTGCATTCTGAGAGCTGAGGACCCTGCATTGGTAATCACAAGCGGATACCTGGGTACGATGAGAAATCGAGGTATGCAGTTGTGGCGCCAGGTCACACCGTCTGATTCTAGCCGGGGACAGCCGCCATGAGGGCATGAAAAATCACGGCGTTAGAAACCACCGAATGAAATACATAGAGCGGGCGGATTTAAGGTTATAGCATGAACACGCGTGAGTCATATTGACAGCTTACGGCTCATGCCCTACGGAGTATGTAGTCAAACACGAGGTAGGAGACATCTACATACTCCACTTTGTACGGAGAACGAGTATATTAGTTACAACTTGAGCTCGGAGCTCGGATGTAAGGCGGAGTTTGCATTCCGACATAGCACTCACTTTAGCTGATTAGCAATTATTCAACGCAGATCCTAAGGACGTGCAGGTGCGTGGTTGTAACATTACAGCCTTTTTCAGGTCCCCCGGATGCCCACGGATGCCGATTCACCAATCGCCAAGATCGGGCTCGGGCTCGGCCTTGGCCTTCGCCCCGACTTTTTGTCAAAGCCCAGGTGCTCGATTTCTTCTTTACTACTGGGGGATGACGGTTCATGGTGGGGTTTGTAGGAGAGTAGAAGGCGTCTGTGATAGAGTAGAATATAGTGTTGTACGAAGTATGGAGAACGGAGTACAGTGGGGGAGTGCTTGGCGAGGATATTGCTATGTCGAGTTGTACAAGCTTGGACCAGGATGGGTTAGGACACCACATGACGATATGCATCGGGGATGTGTTGATACATATTGGTGGCTTGAATATATCAGCTTTTTTTTCTTACCTGGTTATGTTCTAGGGAATACGGAGTACTATGTCACAATATCTGTGTACAAATTTTATGTGTTGGGGGTGCAAGGACCATCCTGCGGTCTTGCATTCGGATTATCACGGAGACGAGCGAGCTACTACTGGAGGAAGATACCTCAATATCACCTGTTTGGGTAATAAATTAAGGTGCCGGATTTCCGCTTGAATTTGTTCTTATTGCTCTGTTTTTGTATATCCGGGCGAGAGTCCGGCACTCAGTTTCCATCGTACTATACGCCCCCACTACGATGGGGCCAGCCCAAAAATGCGGCTCGGGAAACAAAGCGAGACCGAGACAGGGATATGAAGTACGAAAGCACCTGACAAGGTATGCATACATATGTTGGCTCTCGATGATTGGAGGAACAGATCCTTGATCATCTGCTTCGGCTTCAACGGTGAAAGTTGCCTCGGAAGTCAACCTGAGATAGTCTGAAAGCCAAGCAGGCTGGCATATTTTTACATGCTCATCCTGTCTGTACTGGTAATCTGTCAACCTAGTAGGCATACATCGAATGTAAGATGTAAGAGAACGATACTGAGAAGGGAGATTAGGCTGGTTACCGTCCAAATAAGGTAACGATCGACTACGTCATTGGCCCAGGCGCTTATATTTTTCTGTCCACCGTACAGAGTACAATATGCGTGTGGCATCAGATGCAGGTCTACATACAGCAAAGGCCCCAAGTATGGCCTATGTAGTCATAGTTCCCAGCCTCCCGAACTCGTGAAGTCACCAAAATCTCCACTAGAGGCTCCCGAGACACCCGAGTGAAGGGAAGAGCCTAAAGGAAGAAAACATACCAAGGACTCTGACTTCAATTTCCATGATTCAGTGTACATCTTTATAGTCTAGATCGCAAAGGATATGTATGGATCATATGAGGTCTCCTAGCATATCAACCTATACCTAGGCTACATAGGTATCACCCTATAACTAAGCAGAAACGAAGTAATCCTGAATTGGGCATATCAACCCTGAGGGTCCTCGTTTCTTCCACGCACTTTTAATTTTCATTATTCAAATTAAATTAATTTTTTTTTTCCTCAAAAGCATTGGAAATCGGCACCGGCGAGCTGGTTTTTTTATTTTTTTATTTTATTTTTTATAATTGATTTTTCTTTCATTTATTTCATTTAGCTTTGGCCGGTACTTCATTCCTAAGCCCCGCCTGGACTTTATATACAGCAATTCCCTCCCAGACTCTCATACTTCAGCCCTACCGCTTCATACATATAATCTGTTTGGTTCGAATTACGGGTAGTCCTGTCTAGACACAAGAGGACTTAAGAAAAAAACAAGAATAAATACGGGCCCAACTATTCAGGTTGACAGGTTCGCTACGTCACGATTCCATAGAGCTTCGACCTCAGCTGGTTGGAGCTCTATATCCTGCGACCACTTGCATTCTTTTGCACATACAAACGTACACATTATCATTCTTGCAGTATAACACATCTTCCCTCAAATGCGGCCTATAACTACTCGGGTCGCATTGGCGGCAACGTTCACTCTGTTTCTCGCATCCCTCGCGACCGCGCTTCCACACGGTGATGAATCAATGGACATGGGAATGGACATGGGGATGAATATGAACGCAGTCACCGACGCGCCCCAACCTACGACCACCACAATGCAAAACAACACCACTGGTCCGATGAGCTATTTTGCATATAGCAAGCACTCTAGTACCATTATAGCTCACATTGCTCTCATGGTTCTGGGATGGTGCTTCGTTCTTCCTGTCGGTAAGTGGCTCTCGTGTTGTTGCGCTCTGAACGCGAAGCAAAAAAAAAAAAAAAAAAAAAAAAAATAGACAAAAACTGATCCCTCTAATAGCTGTCATGCTGAGCATTGCGCGTTCATGGCTCGCGATTCCATCACAATTCCTCTTCTTGGCCTTCAACGCTCTCGGTGTCCTCCTCGGGGTTATTTATAACAGCCAGACCCCAGACCTCTACGAGAACAATGCTCACCACAAACTCGGCTGGGTCGCGACGTGTGTTGTCGGCGCCCAGGTCGTCCTGGCTTTGCTCTTTGCCTACGCTGGCCGCGGCGAGTCGCACGCGCCCTCTTACCATCAACACAATGCGTTCTTGCCTGTCGCGACCGACGACCATGATCATGAGCGCGTTTGCCTCACCGATGCGATGCGTGAGCATCGCTGGTCTCGCGATAGTGGCCAGGGTACCGATAGTAACTCGCCTTCTATCCATAGCCCTGGATCGTCTTGTGGGTCGCCTACCGAATACGATGGATTTGAAAAGCCCGACGAACTTCCAGCAAGGGATGCCGGTCATTACGGCTGGATTCAACACACCAGTGTTGGTCGCTTCCTGTCCAAGACTGTCCCTGGTCTGATCCCCAGCCGGGTACTCCGCGTTCTGAATGTCGTGTATAACATCGTTGATCGTGTCATTCTTCCATTCGGATTTGCGACTATTGCGACTGGAGCTGTGACTTACGGTGGTATCATGAGGAGCCGTGAGATCTTCAACGGGCTTGCGCACTTCATCAAGGGTGGTATCTTCTTCTGGTATGGTATCCTGACACTTGGACGCTATATTGGTTGCTGGGCAGACCTGGGTTGGGGCTGGAACAAGAAGCCTTCCGCGGCTATTGTCGGTTGGAAAGCCAAGGTTCCATCGGGTGAAGCTACAGAGTCGTTCGTCATTTTCCTATATGGCGCGACAAATGTTTTCCTCGAGCACCTCTCCAGTGCGGGTAAGGCATGGTCTGCTACAGATCTCGAGCACGTTTCGATTTCCATCTTGTTCTTCGGCGGCGGTCTGGTACGATCTCATCTCCTTCCCCACTCTTTATAAGAATCAATTTGGCTAACATAAAATAGGCCGGTATGCTTTTCGAATCTAGTTGCATCCGTGACTGGGTCAACAGCACCATCCTCCAAACCCCTGCCCATGCTACCTCGGATGAAGCCTGGACGCCACCGAGGTCGCAGAGTGTTTCTTTGAACCCCATGCCGGCCCTGGTCATTATGTTGCTTGGCATGATGATGGGGTCGCACCACCAGACTAGCATGACATCGACTATGGTACACAAGCAGTGGGGTAACATGCTGGTTGGGTTTGCGCTGGCGCGCGGAATGACATATGTTATGTTGTACCTCAAGCCACCGACCTCGTACCTCCCGGCTCGTCCTCCGACAGAGATCATTGCTGCATTCTGTCTTATCTCGGGAGGCCTGATTTTCATGTTGAGTGTAAGTGCACATACCCCCCACATAAGCTTTATGGCCTCACTGAAGAGCGTGACTAACATTGCTCTAGACCCGTAATGTGATTGAAGCAATGGAGTACTACGAACTGGACGCAATGTTCACCTTCACTGTCGGTCTGGGCTTTAGTGCTTTCATCATGGCTTATGAGGTCTTGGTCATTGCCATCAAGGCCTGGGCTGTGAAGCGTGCCCAGCGTTCACGGCCCGACTTCCGCTTCAAGTGAAAAATTCGCGACATGTTTCCTTTGATACCCCCCCTTTACACTTCTGAGGCTTTTGTTTCATGCCGGAATATACGGAGTCATTTCGTTTTGTGAATTCTTCATGCGACATAATATTCCCTGCAGAGAAAGATACCCTGGGAAGGACAGTGCCTTGGAAACCCTCGGACATGATATTTTGTGACGTTCTGTGAATGGATTAATGTGGTAATAATGGTGGGATTGATTGGGACTGGATATCCCGGTCTCCCAGATGATATATGCAGTACAGATGTTTCTATGAATGCAAGTTCCCTTCAAACAAGACAAGCAAGAAAACAAGTAAGACAAGACTGTCCCGGAGTTTAGCAGGGCTAGATTTTTTTATCCCCGTCCACCGTGCCGAGTCCCGGTTACGATGAGGCAATTAGATCCCCTCCTGTTATACCATTGTAGATGAACAGAAGCCATATACATATATGCAAGCTATGCATTAAAAGCCAATTCGATACCATCGAGTGTCAAATCCGCAAGATTAGCCTTAGAATGAGAATATACTAACAAAGACCCAGGAAATCTAAAAAGTTGAAGAGCTCCATGAGGGGTAAGTGGGGTATTAAGATTAAGACGCAATAGAACAGCCAGTCTGATTGGAAGAAAATGATATCAAAAGGAAAATGTCCCTTACCCGGAGATACCAAGGCTGAAGGGTCAGGTCCGAGACGTACGCATCCGAGAAGACATTTATAAGCTGTGGGTAACCCTCTATTGCTTACACCAACTTGGAACAAAAAAAAAGCTTCTTCACATTCTATATACCCCTCCTCACATAAAAATGGCCTCCAACCCTCCCGGCGCCTGCTGTGCCTCTGGCTTCAAGCACGAAGGTACTCCCACTGGCGAGCTTAAGGATATCGGCGGAGGAGGTAAGATACTCAATTCCCCCAACTACAGCCACTTGTTAACCAAGCTATTCTCTAGTCAACGCCTATATCGCCTACCCTAAGGAGAAGAACCCCGAAAAGGCTATTATCATCGTGGCCGATATTTACGGCATCTACGTCAACTCCCAGCTCATCGCTGACGAGTTTGCCAACAATGGCTACCTGACTATCATCCCGGATATTTTCCAAGGTGACCAGCTTAGTATCAGCGACATGCAATCTGGCAAGGTCGACCTAGCTTCATGGCTCCCCAACCACCAGCCCGCCAACGTTGAGCCCCCCATTTTGTCCACTATTAAGTACGCCCGTGAGACTCTCGGCGTTAAGCAGATCGGTGCTGTTGGCTACTGCTTCGGCGGTAAGGTATGTATTTACAGTCCAGATCTGAAGATCTAATCTCTGAAAATATACCCTCCAAACTTTGGTGCTAACAATCTTGGTTTAGTACGTTTGCCGTAACCTCAAGCCCGGTGAGATTGATGTCGGTTACACTGCGCACCCCTCGTTCGTCACCCACGAGGAGCTCGGCGCCATTAAAGGCCCCTTGTCTATCGCCGCTGCTGGTACGTTGATATTTGCTATCTCAATTGAAAGGGAAAAAAAAGCATCAAAGGCTAATTTCGCATGTGTCAACAGAGATCGACTCGATCTTCACTACTCAGCTTCGTCATGAGTCCGAGGATATTCTTATTAAGGCTGCCCAGCCCTGGCAGATCAACCTGTTCAGCGGTGTCAACCACGGCTTCGCTGTGCGCGCCGATCTGAGCGATCCCAAGCAGAAGTGGGCTAAGGAGCAGGCCTTCTGCCAGGCTATCGCCTGGTTCAACCAGTACCTGTAGATAAATTAGTGGATTTTGCATATAGACGCAGCAAATAGTGATATGCAATACTATTTGATCTCTGATGAATAGATCATTATAACAAGGAGATTAATTGGAATAAATCGGAATCGTCACCCCGAGCCTTACAGTTGCGCGGTTGGTCTTTATCGCGGGGCGTAACTTCGCGAACAAGTCGCCTTTAATGGTCCCGCGGGTCTCCCTCGATCTCTCTTCGAGTTTAATGTTTATTTTAGATTGTTTTCCGATCTTGTTTCCGATCTCGACATTCGGAGTTTTACTCGTTTCTAATTAGGACTTCCTTTGTGTCTTGTTTTCGATTCCCATCAAGGATCGCGTGCGCCTTGTGAGTTATCCCTGGGCCCGGCCCGGAACTTCGACTTAGCGAGGAAAACAGAATCTAACGATTGATCTTCCTTTCCCCAGTCATTAATTGTTGGATCCGCCATCCGACCCTTGAATACATTGTGAATTCTTATTACCTGCTCCGACCGCAAATCCTCTCTTTCAGAGTCACGGTGTTATCCCGACTTGCCAGCCCAACTTTACTCCCGCCCTGAGTGGTTTCGTCACTATATTTATTCGGCAGTGATAGTAAACGGAATATCAGCATTCAGAAACCATGGCGACTCCCGCCGCTTTGCCCCCGTTACCTTTTAATCCGGGTCGCATACGAACATACCTCCTCCGACTACCGCTGTTCACCAGACTGGTGTTGCTGGTCATTCTGGCCTTCTGGCTGCTTGAGTTCCAGACCATATGGAGTGTTGTGCAGTGGGGTGCTTTGATTCCAGAGGAGATTAACCTGGGGACTAGTATGTTTGATTCCATGCCACAAGAGAATATTGGGCGTATGCTGACTTTATGGTGTTACTAGTGTACCGACTGAACACTTATCCCATCATCCATACTGGCTTCTTCCATGCCTTCTTTAATGCTCTGGCGGTTACACCGCTGCTAGAGCGCTTTGAGGCCGAGCATGGCACTTTGACTGCCATTGCGTTGTTTATTGGACGTGAGTGCTCTGGGTAAACGCAATGCTTGTGGCCATTTTGACTAATGTTGGACAATTTAGCTCTCTCGACTGTCCCTGCTGGTCTTTATATCTTGATTGAGAGGTTTATCCTCCACAGAAATACTTCGGTGGTCGGCGCAAGGTATGTTTTAGGTCACCAGGTTGAATGTTTCGGTAACTGACCGTTGAATCCAGCATCTGGGTTTTCCTGCTTCTCGGCTCCGAAGCTATCAAGACCTACAAGTCTCACCCCAACTTCAGGTAAGATTCACTCGGAACTAACTGGCTCTAATCTTGCTAACGCCCTTTAGCCTTGGCCCGTACAAAATTCCCACCTGGACTTCACCCCTGTTCGCATGTGTCGTTGTATCTATCCTCATCTCGAACGTGAGCTTCCTTGGTCATCTCTGTGCGATTCTTGTTGGATACCTCCGTGAGTTCCATTCTCTAACTTTCCCTTTTTGTTCGCTGCTAATTGTCATTTAGTCGGCCTCGGATACCTCAAGGTGTTTGTGCCCCCTGAGAAGGTCCTCCGCTGGATCGAGGGCAAGCTGAACCTCCTGGGACGCCTACCTCACTACGTCTCCGTCGACCAGAAGACCTACGGTCGCTATGGAGTTCTCCCAACCACCAACCCTGCCGGCGCCAACGGCAACCAAACACCCATGAGCTACTTGGGATCTACCCAGCGCCTTGGAGCATGATTCCGGATATTGACGCATTCTTCATTTCTCATTTTTAATGTATATTTTCCACCATAGTACTTTATATTGTTGCAGACTCGGGGGACATTGAATAATAGCATAGCGCGTGCATACTCACATTTAATTTGCATGGTTGGTCTCTGTCGGTTGGCGTAAATTCCACTTCTCCGCGCATAAACAACGGAGCTCTCGATCTCCACTGTTGACTTGTAACACTCCAGTTCAGTCCAATTATTTCCATTCATTTAACGTATTCGCCTTCGCGGCACGGGACCTAGTTTCCCGATGGTCATTATTCAATGGCGTTGAAATGTGAGCAAGCTGGAATACCACCTGTCCTTCCTGACCCCAACTAACAAGATGCCAGCCGCAATCCGCAACTTGGGGAATAACCCCCACCTCATTTTCGTTCGCCTCCCGAATCTCCTATCCTTTCTTTGCATTGTCGTCGGCGTTGTGTGGCTACTGCTCCTACCTTTGAACGAGTACTCCCGACAAACCTACATCTCCGAGAATGCGCTCCTGCCGGGCCAAGTCCATGCGTATTTCACCGGAAGCGAGCAGAACATCTTCCGAGGTTATAAGAAAGAATTGGAAGGATTGTTGAATGATGGACAAGCGAGAGGCGGCCAAAAAGACGAGGCGGAAGTGACAGCGGCGTAGGTCGAATGAACCTGGTACAGGTTGGACTATCTGGACTATTCGCTAATACTTCAACAGGGTCTCGGACAAATTGCAGTCAATCTTGCAAGCGGCGGGCCTTAAAGTTGCCACGCAAAAATACGAATATACCTCCGCTGGGATTACGCACCAGGGAGAGAATACTTATGCTATTATCCATGCGCCGCGCGGTGATGCCACGGAGGCAATTGTCCTGGTTGCGCCATGGTTAACGGCTGATGATAAGTTGAACCTGAATGGTGTCACTCTTGCCTTGACATTGGCGAGATATTTCAAGAGTGAGTTTCGTGGTTGCGCTCCTCTAGTCTGGCTACTAACAGTTGATGCTAGGATGGTCATTATGGTCCAAGGACATTATTTTCCTAATTACCCCGGACAGCAAAACTGGAACTCAGGCTTGGATCGATGCCTACCACGATATGCACCCGGCTTCGGTACAGCCACTTCCTTTAAAGAGTGGAGCGTTGCAAGGAGCATTGGTTATCGAATATCCATTCGATCACCGGTTCCAGACGCTCCATATTGTATATGATGGAGTCAATGGCCAGCTCCCCAACCTCGACTTGTTCAACACAGCTGTAGCTATTGCAGGTGGCCAGATGGGCATCGGGGCCAATCTACAGGAAATGTGGAGTCACGACGACAGCTACGAGCATCGTCTACAGACCATGTTCCGCGGTATGACCAAGCAGGGTCTCGGGTATGCCACCGGCGCACACAGCAGCTTCATGCCGTATCATATCGACGCCATCACCCTACAGACAAAGGGCGAGGGGTGGGAGGACGAAATGGCTCTAGGCCGGACGATTGAGTCTCTTTGCCGCAGCTTGAATAACTTGCTGGAGCACCTGCACCAGAGCTTTTTCTTCTATCTGCTCATGCAGTCCAACCGTTTTGTCAGCATTGGAACTTATTTGCCCAGTGCTATGCTGATCGCTGGAAACTTCACTATCATGGCGATTGCCCTCTGGATTCGCACTGGGTACTACCCAGAGAGCAAGCCAAGTGCCAACCCCAAGAATGAGAAGGCACCTACCGAAGAGAAGGAGAAGGAGAAGCCCAATACGATTACCATTGCGGAACGACACCTTGCTCTACCACTCTCGCTTGTTGTCGGGCTCCATCTACTCGGCCTTGTCCCGCTCTGGGTATTTAATAATGTCTTCCACCAGGTGAGATCTACTAGCCTATAACCACGATAATAATAGCTGCTAACAAGTCTACAGTACTTCACAACTACCACCTACATCTTCGTGGTCGTGGACATCATCCTCCCCCTCTTCCTCGCCGCAATTCTCTCCAACGGCCTCGGCCTATCAAAACCAATCATCCCCCAACAGTACCACCTTATAAAATCCTTCTCCCTCCTCCTACTAGGTCTCTCCCTCTCAACCCTCGCCACTCTCAACTTCTCTCTTTCTTTCATGATTGGTCTACTCTGCGCGCCGCTTAGCTTCGTCACTCGCCTGCGAGGCTCCACGCCATTCCGTTTGGCAACTTCCAGTCTGGGCCTGGTGCTTCTCAACCTTCTCTCCCCGCCAACTGTTCTCCTTGGAGTCTGCTGGTATATGGGGGTCTCTGTCGAGGCTGTCCTCACCCAAGCCGCTTTCGGTTGGGATGTTTGGGGTATGTGGACCCAGGTTGTTGTTTGGTGTGTGTGGTGGCCAGCCTGGTTGATTGGCTGTGTGCTTCTGGGGTCGTCGATGTTCTGATTATATTGTTGTACATTGTTGTGTCATGTGGTTGCCCCATTGGTCCAATGATATAGGATATTAATAAATACAAGTCCATGCTATAACTACCGAAACAAAGAAACAAAGACAGGGACCAGGGCATTGGATACCACGAACTGACAGCAGGGAGTCCAAACATCACCTGTTAGGATCCAAGCTACGCATACCAATGCATTGCCAATACAGAATGTAGCTTGGTACGTACATATTCTTGCCACTCTTCCTCAAATAGGTACTCTGAATATGTGCCTCTTTTATATGTTTCACTTGCCACGCCGTACATTTCTTCAAAGTAACTCCATTTCTAATTCTTACTCCAGGGCGCAAACATCTATTGCCTCACGATAGCCAATTACGACCAAAGAACATTTAGCATTCGACGCCAGAAGAGCTCAAGGCGAGGTTAAACAAAGACCGCACCAACTTTATACATACCATATCGTCGAGGTCATGCACGGCTGATTCAAACGAACAATGAAAACATCCAGGATGTTCATCTTCCAATGCAACACATTTCCCCGAATCTTTGTTATAGCCCTTGAACAATACTAAGATTTCACATTCATGAGGTGCATCAAGTGCATCAATGTTGAATTGTTCTTGGCCAGTTCTCATGAGTCCTGCCCGAAATCAGAAACAGTGTTCTATCTCTTTCATGCAGTGCCTCTATCTAGTTCCAGTTTCATGTCCACGATTCCCTCTATCAATCTATATAAAGAATGACAGGCCTTGTTTCTCGACAAATGCCTGCATCTCCCAGGTTTACACAGGATGGGTCTCTTTCGAATTGACTTTCTTGCTCTATGGCTTCTCTTACTCCGTCTCACAACAGCCGCCGCCCCAGTTCCAACCAAAGACGGCTACTGTTTCAAATATCTCATCCAAGGATATGATACCTGTACATTGATTGCCAAAGCACACGATATCACCGAAGCCGATATCGAAAGCTTCAATAAAGATACCTGGGCATGGCTCGGATGCAAGCAGCTATACCAGGGTGACTTTATCTGTCTCAGTCCTGGCAAACCTCCAATGCCAATGGCCCTTCCTCATGCTACCTGTGGTCCACAAGTACCTGGAACAACACGTCCACCCAAATGGGCCGATCTTGCCGGAATGAACCCATGTGCTGCGTCTAAATGTGTGAGTAAACCCCAATAGTTAGTCTGTCTTATAGACCCAGTTCCTAATAATCCAACAGTGTGCTTTCTGGGGTCAATGTGGTACCTCCGATCTATATTGTCAAAATTACCGTGCACCTCCTGCTGGTCCTACAGCCACCGTGAAAGGAGCGACAGAAGCCCCGGCATCAAAAGCTACTGGTAATACAAAGGCAACCGGGGCTAAGCAGTCGACTAATACTGGCTCTGGGGCAAAACCTACCTCGAACTCCAATTCTAAATCCACTACTACCACTGTCAAGGCGACGAAAATCACAACAACTACCAAACAATCAACGACCACAAAAGCAAAAACAGCACCTGAACCAACCGTAACATACCCTTGGACAGCACCGTGGGAAATCACACTGTACAGCAATAAAGGCTGCGAGGGTGACTACTACCATCTCGAAGGGTATAACAAAAAATTCCTCGATGGCGAGGGCTGCTTAGCGCTCCATGGAGGTCTGAACAGTAAGTTCACCGATACGGGTGTTACCTGTAAATGGTGGACGGATGATAGTTTCACGTGGAGTAGTTGTGATGCGAGCAAGCTTGAGAAACCGCAGTCGTGGATCGTCAAGGGTGGGTATTGTTCTGCTTTCAGTAAGAAAGATTGTGATTGCTTTGATGGGGTGGCGCAGTATTATAAACCCGAAGGCTGTCATAATCGGACGGGGATTGATACGCCTAATTTTGCGGCTTTGCAGTGTGCGATTAATGGATTCTAAGTGGTGGTATGTGAGAGGGTTTTGTATATATTTCTTTTTGGGGGAATAAGATTGTTCTGGTTTGTTGTTACTAGACTATATGAATGTCCTATTCTTCCTTGGCTTTAGATGACGAGCGAAGTAGATAGAATGCATACTACGAGAATTACAAATATACTAGAATCACGATAACAGACGACACCGTTGTATTCATTATAATAGAACTGATCAGAACACAAGTAGGATAAGATCTCTATGCAGCCCAAACATCCTTACCAGCTCCCTCGATCCAGTGACCGAGCTGATTAACACCAGCATCCCAATCCTTAAGACGGTTTCGCATACCATCGATCTGATTCATATCCAGAACCTTAGGCTGAACCCAGTGGATCTGTGCAACCTGAGCAACCTGGTCAATAGATCCACGCAGCAAACCCAACGACAGAGCCTTCATAACGAGATGCTCGATCTCATCGGGCTGAACCTTAGTCTCGGAAGCGATAGCCTGGAAGGAGAGAGAGCGGTCGTGAGGAGGGCGGTGGAAGACCATCTCCGTAAGTGCGGAGAGAGAAATCTTCTGGTACAGGAATACCCGGTGTGACTCCAACAGCTTGTTCTTGCTGATGTTACCGGCCAGCACGTCATAGGCAGCCAGGTCGCCCCGGTTGAAGGCGAAGAGAAGCTCGCGGAGCCAGTTGTGCGGGGTCTCGGTCAGCGAGTCCAGAATCGGGTGCAGGAGGAGCTCTCCGAAGTTGTAGATCGTCTCTGATACCAGGGCCGCTACGCTGAGGTTGTAGGCACGCGATGCGCGCTCAGTCTCGGTGAGTTCTTCCAGGTCAATGCAGGCGAGGTAGAGGAGGGCGTTTTTGTAGAAGGAGGCGAATTCTTGCTTAGACTGTTGGAGAGAGGAGTTAGTTTCAATTTTAATGGCCGTGTCCAGCTAGAAACACGATCCTAAGAATCACGTACGTGGTAGTAGTCCGCATTCACTTTGTAGAATGAGGCGTGCACAACGGTCTCGACCGAGTCAAACGTGTCTAGCACCCGCTGGCAGGTGGCCAGGTCTGTCTGTGCTCCTTCCAAATCCTTCAGCGACAGCTTGACGTTGGCCACGTCAGCGAGCGCGTAGACATATGCATCCTGTGTATCGGCCGTATCCGTCTTGGTAGCGAGGGATGTGAGGAAAGCAAGTCGTTCTTGGTCATCTGGAGGGGGGTGGTTAGCTTGCATCAACACAACCCAGAGCTCATCATGGTATATTTTGGAGCTTCGGGGCTAGACTATGGACCACCAACCTGTGCATTCTGTTGCTGCCATCAACCCCAGCGACACAAACTTGAGCTGGTTGACCCGGTCGGCGAAACTGAGCACGAATGTCTTAAACAGAGCTAAGCGGTGCGGAGCACTCTCTGGCATGCAGAAGAACTCGACCAACGAGTCTGTAAGCTGATGCCATAGTTTGCGCTCCCAGTAGTCTTCGAAGGTGAGGAAGTAGGGTTGTGTCTCTGGGCTTCCTTGTGCTTGCTGCTCGAGCAAGAAGTCGGGGATCTTGGACTCCATGGTGGAGATGTGGGTGCTATTTAAGTTGAAGGCACTGTTAAAGAACGAGATGCTGAATCAAGAGAGGAAGGTAGGTAAACTCGGACGGAATTGGAGATGTTGATGGTTGATGCGGACTGCAAGAGAGCTGATATGATGTCCTCACATCGGCAGTTTGGGGAGCTCTCGTTCACCGCCCTGGCTTCCACGGTCTTCGATGCTTTGCGGTTTCAACATCAGTTCTCTGCTTGGATTTTGATTATATTTGGTGTTATTTAGCTATGTGGCCATGAATAGAAGCCGATAGATAGTGTGGTATTCAGCATGGTACTTGCGTATATGCTGCTTTGTTGGAAATTTCCCCCACTGTTTGTACTATAACAGATATATATATATACTAGCCAGCGACAGAAGATTTAACATCTTTTTTGCCTACATACCTTGTTCATACCTGGATATACTCCTGTATTTTCTCCATTCAAACCCCTAAGCGGTACTTGTGATTTTCTTTCCCATTTGCTTCATGTTATGGCACATGCACCGGATCAGCGAAGAAAGACTAGTAGTAGCTTTCTCTTCACAATCCTCGAGTCCATAGAATCCTTCGTTCTAAGAAACGAATTGGACAGAGTTTAATTATATCATATAAAGAGAAACATCTAAACAGGTTTGATACGAACGAGAAGACATATAATATGTTACAAAAGAAGCAAATTTGGATACAGAGTGAAAGGCCGCTCGCTTGCCCTGGCTGTCAAACTACAAGTAACGGTCCGACGAAGAGACAGGAGATTGAGCAAGACAAAGGTCCATACTAGATCTAAGAAGTACATCCGATACTTGAACGCGGCGACGGGTCATCATAACTTGGAGGTAGCGGCGATAAACTCTTAGTAAACTAGCTGCGACTTGAGATACTACTGGGAGGGTATAAAGGAGAGTGTCCGCCAGTGCTAGAACAAGAAGAGCAAAGACGACGTACATACATGTATTGACTCGACATATAGCCATTGAATGCATGCTTGGTAGACTGATCTGATGGCTCCCGTGTTTAGCCCTAATTAGATCACTGATTTGGACCACGAACATAATGTTTGTTCTCTCCTCGGGTGAAACTAGCAAGGAATACATAATTCCTAGAGACTTGGTACTAACTTGCATGAATACCTCAAATCCCACATCGAGATGTATTGATGCCGAGCACGAGCAAGTACATATAGGTTGGCTACTAGGTTCCGAGGGATCCAAACTATATGAAAGTGGAGAACTAGGCGGTGCAACTGAATAACTTTGGGAATAATTTGTGTCGTATTGCTCTGGATACTGTAGGACATGCGTAGGACATGCCAAATACACTGAACCGATACTACGATACTAAGACGAAAGTATAAGGAAGCCCCAATGGGAAAAGGTATTTTGTATTTTGTAAAACCCCGACCACACCCCAGATAGGAACATGGAATCATAGATGCTAACGAAAAGCGACACGCTTAAGCGTCATCGACGGTGGTGGTGTGGAGACCCTTGGGGTCCTTGACGTTGACGGCCTGGACGTGGGAGTAGAGACGCTCCTTGGCGTTCTCCTCGTCGTTACGCTTACGGGAGATGCGGACACGGAGACGGAAGGGAACACCCTTGATACCGGCTTCCCAGACCTTCTTGTTCAGCTGGGGGTCGACGCGGACATCCTTGGTGCCCTATTTGATGAGTTGAGCATGTTAGCGAACTGATTCCCCAGTGGGGTCCGGGGAGATAGAGAGCATCGCTCAAAAACTTACCATAGCCTGCTCAGCGAAGGCGCGGATCTCCTTGATAGCCTTAGGAGCACGCTTCTTGAAGCTGACGCCGTGGCACTATAATTCCGGAAAAGAAGTTGCAATCAGTCTTCCGCCCGAATGCCATCTGCTAGAGAAAACTCTGCGCGATGAATGTTTCTGGTCTTTCGGCCATAGTGGACTTCATAAAACTAATTCTTCTTTTGTGTTCCGGGTGCGGATATGTGTGGATGCGAGCGAAGACTTTTTCAAGATCTCCCCTCGGCTGTCTCTATCGCGAAGCAGACAAAAGACAAAAGTGCCATGTCCTACCTGCAGATTTCTCCACAGGTCATGGTGAGGATGGTAGTGTGACATAGAAGGGGATTGGTTTCCCATTCCACCCTCGAACGCACACACACACCAACCCACACCACACACATTCTTTTCCGTCACAAATTCCATTTTACAGGAAAAGTTTCTTGTTCTCTGTCCATTATATGCCTCCAGAACTGAATCGTATTCGAATCGTCGCAGGTAGACTGGGAAAGGGTTTATGTTCAACATACTCGCTTGTGCAGGTTGATGGTGTACTCGCGAGACACCACATCGGCGATAGCCGAGCGCTTGTTGCCGGTCTTGACGTTGGACATCTCTGCGGAGAAGGTTAGAGAGGTATTTCAGAGTGATAATTGAGGAAACTGACTGAAGGGGTGGTCGACGGTGGGCGGAAGTGATCGATTGTCAGAAGGAGAATTCGCGGTCGATTTTCGTGTGAAATTCAGTGTGGTCTCGCTTGCCTGTGCGGGGCCTGATTGGGCGGAGTGGAGCAGTGTTACGGCCAATGATATTTTAGATGTGGATATCGATGCCTCAGGCAATAATGACCTTATTCAACTATCAAAATTCATACTATGTAGTTACTTCTAATTCTGAAATATTCAGGCGGTTTGAGCTATAATCTCTAGATAAATTTGATATAGCTTCTAAATAGACATCCCCCACATTACTTCTGGCCTGCGCTCACATCGGGGTAAAGGTCAAATCGTCGCTGGGTGGAGATAGGAATTCCACTGCGGATGTTCGCAATCGAATCATTATCCAAGTCGGCGTAAATAATAGTCTCCTTCTCTTCAGCCTCAGAGAGAATTTTTGCACTGGGGTCTGCGACCAAGCTGTGACCATAGGCATGGTAGGCGGCATCTAGATCACGCGCCGGGCTGCAGAGCGCCACGTATGACTGGTTATCAACAGCTCTGGCACGGGCAAGGAGCGACCAATGCAGAGGACCGGTGGTAGTGTTGAAGGCTCCCGGGTAGACGAGGAGGAAAGCACCCTGGCGGGCAGCGATCATCGCTGCCTCTGGGAAACGAATATCGTAGCAGATGGCCAGAGCGACCTTTCCATACTCGGGGAGATCAATGACTGTCAGCTGGTTGCCAGGTGAAAGTACATCGCTCTCCTTGAATTGAATCTTGCCCGGGATGTCGATGTCAAACAGATGCGTCTTGCGATGAGTGCCGATCAAGGCGCCTGTCGGCGAGAAGACCAGCGAGGTATTGTAGTATTTCTTGGTGGATGGCTCCAGCTCGGGAATACTTCCGCCGATAAGGTATGCATTTGCTTCCACGGCGATGGCTGACAGGGCGTGGAAAGAGGGCGATTGTTCAGCCGTAGGAGGAGAGGGAAGGAGGGTCTCGGCGTATTTGGGGAAGAAATTAGTGCCGTAGGGCGAGTTGAAGCACTCGGGAAGGACAATCAATCCTGCGCCAGCCTTTGCAGCTTCAAGGACTTTGCTCCGTGCATGAGAGAGGTTGACGGCCTTGTCCGCCCCTAGATGGTTCGGTTAGCTGGGAAAGAAATGGGCAGGTATCTGGATTCAAACCTGATGCGAGCTGGACAAGGGCTAATTTAAGGGGCTTTTTCAAGAAGGTAGCCATGGTTGGGAATGTGAAGAAGAGATGAGGGGGAGACTGGAATGATATCGGAGCGGTTGCGAATTGCGGGGACGGCCATTTCGCCGATAAGCAGATCCCGACATTACTCGCTCAAATTGTTCATACTTGACGTCTATCTTGACTAAATTCTACTTGGTTCTAAGTAATTCCGTATAGATACACATGCGATTTTTATTCTGGCTCTAAATAGGGGCAATTTCTCCTCGATTGGAGATTGGGAGATGGCGTTGTAGCTACATACTCTTAAAGATGCTTCCACCAAGCGGTATTTTCGGCCTCTTTCTATATATAATCCTATATATCCTAGATGATAACCATAAGACTACTAGTAGTTAGAATACAATTGCATTCCTATCCGCTATCAAACGAGTAAACTCATAGTTCCAATGTCCCATAACTACGAGCTGCAATAATACCGAGATACCAAAGCCCAAGCAGAACGGTGCAACCAAGTTCCCATGGAGAGGATCGCGTGAATTGCCTTCATCATCCAATATCCGGGTCGTTATGAGCGCTTGTCTGGACCATGTATCTTGCGCGATGCTGTGTCATGTACCAGTCCACCTGACTCTATTCGGATAAGGTGGTCGGCCTTATCGAAGCCAAGCATCCACCGGTGCGTTTACCGTCTTTTCAAGTCATCGGAAGGGATATCATAGGGCTTAAGTGTCTTGAAGTTCTCAACAGTGGTCGGAAGCTCTCTATTTTATGCTGCACTCGGAATCTGGTTGTTCACATCGCTGTTCCCCATTTCCCGCCAGCTCTCACATCTTCAGTTGCTCGAGGCAACAATTGTAGGACCTGCATTGCAGTGACAGCAAATTCCCATCTGTCCTCTTTTGTCTTAATTCTCTTTGTGTTTCATCTCCGCCATCTGTCTTTTGTGCTTCTCCAGCCATTACCGAAGCTCTTCGTCATTGGGGATTGTAGTTGGGTGGTGAAAGGCTCCGATTGGTTCCGGCATTGCTCCTGGCGACAAATATGCCTGATAAGGCACGAATTCTACAAAGGTCCGAGAAGCCTCACCGATGTGCTTGAGTCACCGGCCGCCAGTCTTCACCGGATGCAGCCCACTGGTCGAGCTGGTCGAGCTGCTGGAGGTGGGCGAGGAAGGGGAGGGGCAGGTCGTCAGGGACTCGCGCCTAGCAAGATCTTGCCTGGTCCTGATCCGGTATACCATGTCTAAAGAAATGATCCCATGGGAACTCGAGTTAGGAACATGCGCTTGTCGGCTTATGGCCTGGTTAATAGCTGGTTAAGCGCACATTTTTCGCTATGGACCCATTGCACGTCGACCTTGATTGGTGTTTGTTTGTCGTTTGGAAATGACTGCCTGACGCTGGACAAGTCAGGAAGCACTTTCTGTGGAGACGTCTGCAACCATCATGATATGTGGAGGTCGTTCACAAATTTGCCTTTCTTTTTCATGTGTTCCGTGGTTGTAAAGGGATTCGTCCATATTGACTTGTAGAAGCCATCGGCGATATTCTGGGGGTTTCAGGTGTGTTCACCGATTTTGAAGTCTCTCCACGTTGTGGTGACCGATCCTTGCTCCTCCGCTCTAGTTCCTCCGCTCAGGCTCTCGTCATGGGGGATTGGTAGGAATGGATGGCCAAGCCAATTGGAAATAATTCAAGAGAGAAACTAGGATTTTCATAGTATTATACTATGTTGTAAAGAGGAAGACACAAAGTCTAGGATAGGGAAAACGGGTGCTGAGGTAACTGGGTAGGAGAGGAAGGAAGGATTTATTTGTTACGCAAATTTACGTTCACCCGCAGACTTCTAGATCCTTCATTAGAGACATTATATTAATACATGTAGTCTGTAGTACCCCCATTTAGGGTGGATTTATCTAAGAGATACTATGACTATGTACTACTATATACCTGTGGTCCAGGATGGAAGCTTCATCAGTGTTGTCTTCCGAAATAACATTCAAGCCAATCATATTAGTTTCCCGTTTTTCTGTTCTTTTTCGTGGACATCCAAGGTGCCTCATATGTAGTGAAGTGACGAGATGTGCGAAGTTATGGTAAGGCGTGGTTCTCTATACATATCCAACTTGCCAGTTACTAAGAAAAAATTGCACCATACTACTGCGTATTATCCTTATTGAAAGAATTAACAGTGATATACCCATAATTATCTTCGGATATAAAAAGGAGGCTTATATAGTGGTGAGGCCCACACTGACATTGTTCTACCAATAGAAATACGAACTACTGAGGAGTTCCCGCTTCTTAATTTCTTCCCATTCGGACACATCTCGAGTGCCCAGCATTTAACTGCTCCTGCATCTCGCTAACCCGATCCGATTCACAGCCTCATTTGTGTATGATAAGACATTATGGAGGACGGAGTCGGGACCCGCCACCCTAAAGCATGCCTAACCTGTGCCAAGGCTAAAGTACGATGTTTCCCGGAAACAGATGGTCCTTGTAAACGGTGAGTATACAACAAATAGTTGATTTCATACATAAAACCCATATTGACTTTTGGCTAGTTGTCGTCGCCTGGGAAAAGAATGTGGAGCTCAACTACCCGGAGCCCATCGCCGTGAAAAGAAATCAGCCGCAAGTGGCTCGTAAGTGTTCACCAATTATCAAACCTCCCTAAGAGACCCCTAACGCTCTAGCTAGAGATGTTGCTGCGCTTGAGGCTAAATTAGACCGCATGGTTGCCATGCTGGCTGCCTCAGAACAAAATGTCAGAGAACGAGTAGAAAGTGGCCCAGCAAGGAAATCATTATCTACTTTTGAACACAACATCGATGAAGCCGAAGGCGAGCTGTTCATGAAAGTGTTCTTCGAGAAAATATTCCCGCTCTTTCCATTCCTCGTGATCCCCCCGCATGTCACCGCTGAAGAACTGCGCCGGGAGAAACCATTCCTCTATCTGAATATTTCAATGGTCGCATGCCAAAACGCTCTACGCCAGCGAGAAATTGTGGATGCAGTACAAGAACATGTCGCCGAGCACATTGTAATGAGGGGAGAACGTAGCCTGGATCTGCTCCAGGGTCTTCTCCTCAATGTGGCTTGGTTCATTGTAGTCAGTCGTTTCCCGCGACATGGTGATTATCCCCCCAATGTGCCCAAAGTCGAAGAGCCTCATCATATTATTCGAAGCACTGCCCAGCTCGATACAAATGTGCACTTACTCGTGGCGCAATCCTTGAGCTTGGGCCTGAATCAAGAGATGGCTTACCAAAAAAGCCTGAACTATCCCTTGACTTATTTGAAGGATACTATAACTGAGGACCATCATAATCCGGTCCGCACACTGGAAGAGAGACGCACCTACCTTGGATGTTATTATCTAATCACCATGTATGTTGTCCACTCTGACCCCTGGTCTTGCTGGATATAAGCTAACTTTTCAAAGGCTCTCGACATGTGTGAAAGACTTGGGGTCGATTATTCGCTTTACAAGATACACAGACGAATGCTGCAACGTTCTAGATCAGATCGCTGAATATCCCACAGATGCCTCTGCGGTACAGTTAATCCGAGCGATGAATGTCGCAGATAAGATTCACCACACACTATACCACACCGAGCTCTTTTCTTCGTCCGTTTCATCAGCACCTCCGCCTCTTGGGCTAAGCATACGATGGCTTGAGGCTGAGATTAAGCAACTCAAAGCTCACATATCGAGCGAGTCACCATACTCTGGTTAGTTATGCCCTCGTCTCTGCGCACAATTTAACAATGATCTAACAACAACGACAGCCATTTTACAGCTTCATTACACAACACTCGAGATACATCTTTATCGAATTGCCCTCAACACTGACGTCTCCAAATCCAACTACGGTGATCACCCTCTCATGCAACTGGATCTCCTTTTCCGCTGCCTGGAAGCGACAACCTCCTTTTTCCAAACAATCCTCTCGCTCCCCTCCGACCTGTTCCCTTTCTTCCCTTTCACCATGACGTGTCAATTCGCAAAAGCAATCGTCGCTCTCTCCCAACTTTCTCTTTATGATCACCCCGGATGGGACCGAGCATACGTGGAAAGTATAATAGACTTCGACCAGACTGTCGATGGCATAGCCTCCAAGATGGAAGTACAACTTCCACTTTTCGAACAGGCTCTTGCAGATAACAAGTTGACTGAAGTGCCGGAGGTATTTGGAAGGATGAAGAATCGCGCGCAAATGATTAAAAAGATGCATCGGCGGAGAAAAGATGCACTCGAACAAAAGTCCTTGTCTACCACTATCGCCCCGATGCACTACGATTTCATGATGGATTCTCCCCTCGATCTGCTGTTTCCTTTTGGTGAAGTTCCACCGATGTATACGCAATACATGTAATTGATAGTCGGCTATGTCTAGGCCTGTAGCGAACTAAATGGAGTCCATCGCCGAGATTCGGCGATCTCGAACTGCTTGTATATACTGAAATGTAATAATGATCTATTTCCAGTTTATAACTATAAGATTACTAGAAGTAACCGATTTCAAGGTGAATAATGTGGAGAGAACCCAGCTCTGGGTCTCGGCAAGAGTGTGGGTCGTGCAGATCGGCGATGCGGCTCAAAACTCATTTTTCCTCGTCGGGTAATGGTGCCACGCGCTGCGCAGCGAGTGGGTATGCGCATTTCCGAAAGAGGGATTTGGCTTAGACGAGTCGTATTTCTCACTATTCATCGAGACTCGAACCTGTCTCTCCAAAAGCCGAGTATAATCCAACTTTCTCAAGGTATAAATAGAGAATGAAATCAAAATTACAGCACCATAACCCCGACCATAGCAGCCATCACGGCCATGACACCGGCCATGTTGGAGGCGGGGGTAGCAGCAGCATTGAAAGTGGATGAGCTAGTCGCGGCAGCAGAAGTAGAAGTAGCGTTACCAGTGTTCGAGGTGGACGAGCTGGAAACCTTCAAAGAAGAAGCGACGGAAGTAAGACCAGAGGGCGCATCGGTGATCATGCTATCAGCAGTCTGAGTGCCGGACGGGGACAAAGAAGAAGAAAAAGAAGACGCGGAAGACGAGTCCGATGCCTCAGAAGTCTGTGTTGCAGAAGCGAGCACAATATCAGTGGCCGACGACGCAGTCGAAGCCACGGTGCTTGTAGAGGCAGCTTGTTTGCCATTGGGTCCCCAGCCCTCCAGGTAGTCGGGAGTAAGCGTTGCGGTTCCGGAGTATTGGGGACAACCCGGTTGAGTGGTCTTTGGGGGAGCTCGGCCGCCGCCACAGTCAAGGATTGAGCAGATCTCGCCGCTGTCTGGGACGTACCAGAGGTAGCTGGCGTAGTAGTGGTCGAATATGACTTCCGAGGAAACGCAGCCTTCCAAGTCGGTGCGGGCTGTAGCGAGGCTGGCGAGGCCTAGGAGGAAAGAAAGAGCGACAGGTTTCATTTTTGGTTCTGAAAGAGTGACTGGGGTAAATTTAACGAGTGAACAGCTAAGAAGGAGAATAAAAATAAAAGGAGAACTGGAGAGTCCAAAGGGAAAGTTATTTGTTGAGGCGGGAATTAGTCCAACCCTATTTAGGCGCTACGGGAGTCTCGGCCCTCCAAAATCAGCCTCAGGGTCTACGGGTCTTTGTTAGTTGGATTAATTAGATTAATTGGATTGATGGGATTCACTTGGCATTACTAGATTCAAAGTAAGAAAAGATCAATTTTTATTCATTTTTCACAGAAATACAATGTAGACCCCATTATCTTCACAAAAAAAAAAAAAAAGGAATATCCGACTTTGAGCCCATAGTGCCCAAGGAGACACTCAAACTGGGGCCCGACTGAGCTCAAAAGACAGGAGACCGATGCAACCGGGAAGCTGGCCCACTGCATGAAGCCGGGCCAGCTTTGTCCTGTCTAGAGCCCGTGGTGCCCAGGGAGATGCTCAACCGGGCCCTAACAGGGTTCAAAAGAAAAAGGGACCGACACCATCGGATTTGAAGCTGGCCCACTGCGTGAGGCCGGGCCATCTTTGTCCAGGAGAGTGCGGGTCGATGCGCAAAAAAAACAACAACAAAAAAAAAGAAGCAAGAGGCCAGAAAGAAACCGAATCACAAAGGCAGAAAACGCATATGCAAACCTTGGCCATGCGATTGGACATAAACATACACTCCCGAAAGGGAGGACAAAGATGGAGAAGATATGGAGAAGAGATAGAGAGATATCTAATTCTTGATATCGTTGACGAGCTGGTGGAACTCACGCAGTCTCTCACCCTTCACTCGAACGGCCCAATGTGTGAGAGTCCCAGTCTCGTTGGGCACCAGGAATTGAACACTGTTAGTGGTGAGCTTGTAGTCGAACTCTTTCTTCAGGAGAATGTTCAAAGTGACATTTCCACTCGGTTCGGCACGGGCGACAATCCGCGCACGTCCAGTGACAGGGTGCTTCAGAACGCGAACGGGACCGGTTCCTTTGGCCACCCACTTATCCTCAAGTTTGAAAACTCGGGATTTGTCTTCAAACATAACAGTTTCCTCTTCTTCGCCGCCGTTGCCCTTGGTCAGATCGAAAATTTCACCGGGTTCACCCTCCTCATCTTCAGTGGCAGTGGAGGGAGCGGACATCACGGGCTGTGCGGAGGAATTGATCGAAGGAGCCAGCGGTGTAGTGGACACTCGTCCAAACATACTGGCGCCCACAGAAGGAGGGGGAGGCGACGACTTCGTCTGCTTTGCGGAGGAATCTTCATGGTTGTTACTTTCATCCACAGAGGCCTTGCGTTTCGGCGAGGTCGGCTTGGGTGCACCGAAAATGTTCTGCGGGGCCGGGTTGGGTCCGCCGAAAATGTTCTGCGAGGACTTCGGCTTCTTTGCGGGTGAATCATCGTCGTCGTCACTTTCATCTGCCGAGGCCTTGCGTTTTGGCGAGGTCGGCTTGAGGCCGCCAAAAATGTTCTGCGAGGCTGGGACCGGCTTACTGGAGGTTCCGAAAACCGAGGAGTTGATAGAGGAGCTAGGAGCGCTTGCACCGAAGAGAGAAGGTGGGCCTCCAGGCTTGCCACCAAAGAGTGCGGCATCCGCTGGCGAACGCGTGGCTGTTCCGACGAGAGTAGAGAATTCAGACGACTGGGGAGATGATGATTTAGGGAACCCGGGTTGGAAATTCGAGGAAGACACAGAGGGAGTGCCGTTCGCTTTAGTAGATGCGGTCGAGGGAGAAACAAAAGGTGGGAAGATATTAGGGGTGGAATTAACAGTACCCGCGGAGTCGTCCTGTGCAGGAGTGGCAGGGGTGGCAGATGTTGCAGGCTCCTTAACGTTCTGTGGAGCAGTGTCATCATCAACGAACTTGAAACCCTCGCCGGGGACAAAAACGGCACGCTTTTTAGCTGCAGCTTCAATTTCCGCGCGCTTAGCGCGTTGGCGTTCCTCATCTTTGCGCTCCCACTCCGCCTCGTCCTCCTCATCAGAGTCAAACTCTTCAGCCTTTCTCTTGGCCTTTGCATCGGCTATAGTGCTGTCCGACTTTGACTTGAACTGAGCCATAAAATTGGCGCCAGTAGCCGGGGCACCAAAGCTAGGAATTTTAAAAGCAGGGGCGGCAGCTGAAGTGGCAGCTGAAGTGGCAGCATCACCAAACTTGGGAATTTGGAAAGCAGGGGGGGCGGCTGAAGTAGCGGCATCACCAAATTTGGGCATTTGGAAAGCAGGGGCAGTAGTCGAAGTGGCCGCACCACCGAACTTAGGAGCTTCAACGGCAGAAGGGGGTGCAGGAGTAGCGGCAGGGCTAGCAGTGGAAGGAGAAGGCTCGGCCCGGGCGACAGGAGCAGTAGCAACAGGAGCCGCAGCCGGAGACGAGAGACCAGCAGAAGCAGTTGCCGGGGCAGGAGCCGGAGCGGAGAAGGATTGGGCGAACTTAGAGGAAGTAGTAGATCCACCAGAGGGCTTGGTAGAAGGCTCTGGGCGTCTATTATCAACAGCAGGAGGGACGAAGGTCGGAGGGGTCGCGTTACCATCTGCCGCTTCCTCGGCGGCATCGCGTTCGTTGATGGCAGCGCGTTTGGCCTCTTCTTCGGGGTTAATCGACCCAATGGGGACACCAAGCTCACGGCGAAGCTCGGCGTAAAGAATAATGACTTCGTCAATATCATCTGTCATGGGGTCGCATTTAGCGATCTCGCGCTTGAACGACTCAGTCAAGACGCCAATCTTCATGAGCAAATTGGCCCGGTCTCGAAGCTGATCCCGATTTTTCTCAGGGAAAAGACGTTTGAGCGGCATTTCGTCAAAATCTTCAGTTGATAGAGGATATTCAATTGATACAGGATGATCAGGTCGAGGGAAAAGACTGTCAGGGTTTGAAGCAGTGAAAGTATTGGAAACAGTAGAATTTGAGGATGAAGAGGGGAGAGAAGAGGAAGAGGGGATTTTATGGTCGCGTGGAGACTGCGCGAACGACACATGAGGTGTCGCAGGTTTCGTCGCGCCTTCCGTTGGAGGTTCACTCGACACCTTAGGCTCAGCGGTGAATGGGCTAGTCAATGAGCCGTTGAGACCTGGGATGTTATTGTCTTTATTGTTGTCAGCTGCTGTACTTGCACCAAAGAGAGAAGTGCTCGGTGCCTGGGGCGTTGCAGCCTGCTCTGTCGGCTTTGGCGCAAATGGGTTGCTAAACGCGTTTTGCCCTGACAGGTTCGCGAATGGATTGCTGGGTGTCGGCTGGGTTGCCTTTTCTTCTCCAAGCTTCGACGGTGCAGGGGACGGTGCGGGGGACGCTCCGAACATTGAGCCAAATGGCGAGACCTTTGCAGGTAAAGGAGTCTGCTCTTCACTTGTCACCTTCGGTGCAAAAACACTACTCGCCGGTAATTGTTCCTTCTCGGCCACAGGTGTTCCAAACATGGGCTTGAACGGCTTGTCCTCAGATGGCTTTGCAGGCGTACTCTCGGCAACTGGCTTTGGCGAGAACATATTGCCAAATGCCGGCGAAGCAGTCTGTTCTTTTGCAGCGTCCGAAACTTTCGATACCGCGGGTGTACCAAACAGGGACTTGAACGGCTGGTCCGCTGCAGGCGTTGCAGCAGTGCCCTCGGCAACTGGCTTTGGCGAGAACATATTGCCAAATGCCGGCGTAGCCGCCTGCTCTTTTCCAGCCTCCAACCCCTTTGATGCTGCAGGTGTACCAAACATGGACTTGAACGGTTGTTCTTCGGAAGTCTTTACAGAGCTTTCGGTCCCAGTAACCTTTGGCGCTGACAGGTTCGCAAATGGATTACTCGCCTTTGGTTCTTCTGCCGCTGGTTTGGGCGCAAATAGATTGGTAGCAGGGCCCGAGGGCTGAGAACTGGGGGTCGACCCGAAAAGAGCACCAAAAGGCTTCGCTGCCTCTGCAGGCTTCGCAGGGGTTTGCTCCGCTGCCGTTGTCTTTGGGGCAAACAAGTTAGTGCTGCTGGTTGGAGCCTGCCCTGACAGGTTCGCAAATGGATTGCTGGCTGTTGGCTTCTCTGCATCCACAGGCTTCGAAGCGGCGGGCGTTGATCCGAAAAGTGGTTTGAAGGGCTGGGTCTCTGCAGGTTTATCGGCTGGTTTCTCAGCCGTGACTGTCTTTGGTGCAAATGGATTGCTGGACGCATTCTCTCCTGAAAGGTTCGAGAATGGATTACCAAGTGCCGACGGACCTGCGGGTAGCTTCGGTGAAAACATGGAACCTCCCTTGGGCTTGGTATCGGGCGAAGTTTGCATGCTGTCATCGGCAGGCGAAGTAATATGTGCTGCAGACTGCCCAAATAGGACGGGTTTTGCTGGAGTGCTTGTGTTTTGCTGTGCCCCGAATCCACCGAACGATGGAGTGGACTGATTTCCGGCATTGAATCCCCCAAAGCTAAAACCATTGGTACTTGACTGTGTATTTCCGCCAAATGATGTGTTTACAGCAAAAGGATTGCTCGGCGGTGCAGATCCAAATGTGGTAGGTCCCGCGCCGAAGCTGAATGACGCCTGACCACCCGCCTGGCCGTTAGTGCCCGACGAGAATATTCCACCCTGGCTGGGCCCCGAGCTTGCCCCGGGGAAGCTCTGGCTTTGAGTCTGGCCAAATGTGAACCCGGTCGACTGGGTAGGTGCTGGTGCCGCGGCCGGGGCCACGGATGCGAAAGGGTTAAATGAAGCTGCACCAGGTGCACCTCCGCCGGTTGTGGGAGTTGGAGCCCGGCGTTTGCGGACATCCTTGATCCTAAAGGTTTCAAAGAGATCTTCGGTCAGTTTGTGGTCATCCACAGGTATTTCATTTATCACTCACTTTCTGCTGGCTAACTGGGCCGCTGTCGCCCGGTGGGGTTTATCATCCGGAGTGCTAGCCATACCGAATATACCCTCGTCTTCTTTGGACCCTTGAGGGCCTTGAGCTCCACGTTTCAACATATTGCGCGTATGAAGACCACCGTTGGTTGTATGCTTAGGAAGCTCGAATTTCGCGAACTGCCTCTTATCCTTCGGAATCTATGTGACCCGGTTTAAAGCGCTAAATCAAGCACGATGCAATACTCGGCCTCGGTGTGATGCCGTGATGACTTTCTTCACTTGCGGCAATCGAAGGAGTGAGCTTTCTGTGCGGTAAGGCTCTCCGACTCCGCACCGACTCGAAAAAGCAAGAGGTTTGATGATGATTACCCTCCACTTAAAGATTGTTTATGGTGGAGAGAGCAAAACCCAATTTGTCTCTAACGTCTTTGATGTGGTTGTCCGTTGGTATTCGCGGTTCCGTGACACGTTCGCGATCCGCCGCGCAGGAAATTATCAGCACAACGAAGGAGCTTTCGAGTTGAGGGAAATGAGATCGAAGACAGACCCAGGGCGTATTACTGTCCCCGATGATATTTGTCTTCGAATTTCGATATGTCCCACGACGCAATGAAGGGAGGCACGACTATTATTTTTTTTTTTGCAGGAAGCATCCAAGGCGGAAAAGATTCAGTCACGTGAGATGTCTTGGCAGCCAAAGGTCTATGCTCGGGACTTTACAAGCTATTGTTTTACCCGCATTGGACAAAGGGGGATGTGATATGATTATCACAATTTTTTGGGATGAAATTCGCTTGCCTTCAAACAAATGAAGCAAAAGAGAAAGGGAAATGTTTCTATCCTCAAGTAAAAGCCCTTGCTCACTTCATGATGTCGACGACGTCGAGAAGCGTTGAGAACCGGAAGAAAAATCCGCTTCAGCAACACCACAAAGGACACTAGAGCCCGAAAAGAATACAAGTAATACTCTTGTGTGAAGCAAAGTCTGCATCTATACGCTTAACTGTTTTGATCGGTGTGATTAAGTGCCTACTGAGGTGCCGAACTGCCAAGCCTTCCCTTTGAAGGGCAAATATATAATTGTTGAGCGATATATAACCAAAAGGACTACACATGATGTATGTGCATGATATAACAGAAATTACCAGAAACCACCGAGTGGGCTGCACATCTTGCATCTTGCGAGTGACTGGAAAATCATACCGAACCCAATCTGCCTACCACTTGAGGATTACAACGTTCGAGTCAAGGTAAACAAAGGTAAGTGTGATGTATAAGATAGAAGTACCTGAGTCTTCACAGTTTCATCTCCCCGCACTTAGGGCACTTAGGGCGTGGCGTTCCGTGGGTCTGCTGACCTTATTTCCATTTAAGTTAATCAGAGTTAGGACACTTTGAATTTCAAGGTTACTTACTTACTCCGTACGGAGTACATAGGTACTCCGTACGTACCTAGGTATGAGTATAAATCCCTGATCGGGTTCTCTTACCAACCAGTCACACATACACCCTTAAGTCACATATCACATACTCCGAAAAAGTGGCTGCAATGGAATTCTCAACTAGTCACATTCCACTCCTATCGGGAAGCACCCACGACAAACTAGCGAGTTAGCTTGGTTTTTTGTACAATGTGATGTGCTAGACATCGATTGATTGACTATTGGCTGACATGCAGGTAGAGGCAGGAAACTACACCTCGTGTGGGGAAAGATCAGCGCCATTTATTCATATTCTCATTTCCACCTGGCCATCTTCATATCATGAGACGGAGACTACGGCGTGACAGAAAAATGGACTTCCCCGGAAAATAAATAGCCAATGGATACCCCTGGTCTAGAGTCACTCGCTATCTATTTCCCCATCTCGAGTGGTATTTCGGGGTGGGATTCCTTAATTTGCTTTTCTTTCGGCTGCAGTTACAGGGTCACTGACTCCATCCCTTTCGTGTCATGCGCATGCCTGCATTATCCGATCGAGTCTATTGTCGGAATCGCCCAGGTGGCTATACATAAAACCATGCTTCCCCGGCTCACGTTTTCCATGCTTTTCTATCCAGTGACTCGCAAGCACCCGTCTTGCTGACTTACCCCCTCATTGATTCAGGGTCAAGATGTATTATTCTTCTGTGATCAAGTATTTTTCTTTGGTAGCTTGTGCCAATGCACAGCTACTAGAAATACCCGCTGTGGATGATATAGTCAGTTCTGCTATGCTTCCCTTTGAGCAGTACACGTCCTTCGGTCTAGCTCCAACGAAAATCGCCTCGGCTGCTGTAAGCTTTGGAACCAAGGCTGCCGTGAACGCCGATTCTGCCGTTGCAGCAGCGGTGGCAGCAGCAGCAGACACTGGGTATTGGCTAGCAGACATCGCTCACCAAGGAGTCGCAGCCTTCAACCCGAACCCCTCTAGTTACCAAGTCTTCCGAAATGTGAAGGACTATGGAGCTAAAGGTGAGCATTCATGGATCCCTACTACCCCCCAAGAAGTACTAAAGTAACTATAGGTGATGGTGTGACCGACGACACGGCCGCCATTAATGCGGCCATAAGCGCCGGTGGTCGTTTTGGCCCAGCAAGCAGACAATCTTCCACCACGACTCCCGCGATAGTCTACTTCCCATCTGGAACGTACATAATCTCAACATCGATCATTGATTACTATTTCACCCAGCTGATTGGCAACCCGAATGCAATGCCCGTCATAAAAGCAACCGCAGGTTTTGTCGGACTAGGGATGATTGACGGTGACCAATACCAGAGCGATGGAAACCAGGGCTGGACGTCGACGAATGTTTTCTTCAGACAGATTCGCAATTTGAAATTGGACCTAACTTCAATCCCTGCCGGTACTGCTGCGACTGGTATTCATTGGCCGACTGGCCAAGCCTCCAGCATCGAGAATGTTGTCATTGCTATGAGTTCTGCTTCTGGAACGCAGCACCAGGGTATCTTCATTGAAAATGGTATGTTGGTACTTGGATTTATTTTCGGCCTGCACTAACGCAGTACAAGGTTCTGGTGGCTGGATGACCGATGTGGTAATAACTGGTGGTCTTTATGGTGCCAATATTGGCAACCAGCAATTCACAATGCGGAACTTGGCCATTTCGAATGCAGTGACCGCAATTTCTCAGATCTGGAACTGGGGTTGGACTTACCAAGGCCTGTCGTTGTCTAATTGCACAACTGCTATTTCAATCAGCAACGGTGGTGCCGGTGCCCAGCTCGTTGGCTCGGTCAATATCCTTGACAGCACCATTCAGAATTGCCCTACCTTTGTCGATACCGCCTGGCAGACCTCGACGCTATCGACTGGCAGTCTCATTCTGGAGAACATAATCCTAAACAATGTCCCGGTTGCAGTCAAAGGCGTCAGTGGTACTGTCCTTGCTGGCTCGTCGGGTTCTACGACCATTGGCGCTTGGGGACAAGGCCACAAATATACTCCAAACGGACCGACCAACTTCCAGGGATCTTTCACTGCGCCGACCCGCCCGAGCGCTTTGCTTGCTAGCGGATCGAACAGGTATTTTACCAAGTCCAAGCCTCAGTATGCGCAATCGCCGGTATCTTCGTTTGTCAGCATTCGGAGCGCAGGCGCCAAGGGAGATGGTTCAAACGACGACACGGCAGCCATTCAATCCGCATTGACATCTGCCGCGTCTGCAGGTAAAATCGTGTTCTTCGATCAAGGAACGTACAAAGTTACCCGCACTATTTACGTCCCGCCAGGCTCTCGGATTGTCGGCGAGGCATATTCTGTCATCATGGCTACTGGCAGTGTATGGTCGAGCATTACCAATCCCATCCCCGTCATTCAAATTGGCAGATCTGGAGAATCCGGGTTCGTTGAATGGTCCGACATGATAGTGAGCACCTCGGGCTCCACACCGGGTGCTGTACTCATTGAGTGGAACTTGGCGGCAACATCAGGTTCCGGGATGTGGGATGTTCACACCCGAATTGGGGGCTTCCAAGGATCTCAGCAGCAGGTTGCTCAGTGCCCAACGACCGCAGCTGTCTCTGCCGCCTGTCAGGTTGCTTACATGTCCATGCACATTACTAAGGTCGCCAGTGGTGTTTACTTGGAGAATGTTTGGCTTTGGACTGCCGATCACGACCTGGAAAGCCCAACTAATACCCAGATCTCGGTGTATACCGGCCGTGGTCTCTTGATAGAAGGAAAGAATGTCTGGCTGTAAGTAACAGAGAACCCCTACCGTGCTTTCTCAAACTAACAATGGCGCAAGATACGGAACGGGATCCGAGCATCACTCGCTGTACCAGTATCAGTTCTCAGGCGCAAGTTCGATTGTGGGAGGTTTCATGCAGACAGAAACACCGTAAGTGATCCATTCACAAATTTACTGTTCCTGCGTCTCTTGTCCTAACCAATTGCACGCAGATACTATCAGCCAAATCCCAGCGCAGCCAATGGCCCATACACTACCAACTCGACTCTCAATGACCCCGACTATAGTAGCTGTCTCGGTGGAAACTGCAACTCTCTTGGTCTCCGGATCCTCAATACCAAGGATGTGAACATCTACGGGGCTGGGCTATACAGCTTCTTCAACCATTACAGTACCACTTGCTCCACATTCCCCCTTCCGGAGAACTGTCAAAGTATGATCTTCAGCATTGAGGGTAGTACAAGTGGACTGGTGGTATATGGGCTAAACACTGTTGGAACAAGTTATATGATTGTGAAGGATGGTACTGCGCTGGCGACGGTTGCCGACAATTTGGCTACCTATGCTGCTACTATTGCGTACTTCACCTTCTAGAGCTTCATAGCCTTTATGAAAGGAGAAGGTCTCGAGTGTCAGAAATTATTCGGTACATATGTTGATGCTATGCAAGTTCCAAATTTAAGATCTATATGAACTACATTAAGTAGGTCGGTCTAGTACCTATGTTTGGCCATGGTAGATTTTGCTGAGGTGGAGCCATGCTCAGTGGTCACTCGTCCTCTGTGGGCATTATTTGCATTATAATAATGACAATAAAGTAGTGTAGGGCGATAGACGAGGGATGGTGATGAGTGAAGGGGATTTCTTCGGGATTTGGATTGGATTATTGCGCGACGCGGGTACTTGCATTGACATTATTGATTTCCACCTCACAAGTCCTGATGAACCCTCTTTAATACTTTAAATATAAAATGTGTACATCTATTGGAGAAAAGCCTAATTAATCTAAAAAGCCAAAATGTGTTCAATGTACACACATTTGAGAAACGCCGAGGGTAAATAGCTGCGGATATGAATCCGGGGTCATAGATGAGGGGGTCGGATACCCCGGAAAATAAATACATAAAGATACCTAGGTACCTACATAGCCACATCTACACGCCTCATCTTAATCTTAATTTCAACTCCGTATCATGACGAAATCAAGTAACGATACAGTCATCTCGTTCGATTCCCTCCCACTAGACCCAACAGGCCCACGAGGAAATGCCTGGGGTCGATTTGGAAAAGATGACCAACTTGGGACATTGAACCTGCTCACCCCCGAGCGGGTTGTCGCAGCCGCAAAGGAAATCCAAACTGGTGTGCGAATCTCACTTGACTGGGCATTGAGCATGCCTTCGCATCCTAGCTTCAATCGGGATCCATTTAAGCAGGAGCTTGTTCTGCGGAATCCGAATTGTATTTATGACGATATCCTGACATTCAATAGCCAAGGGTCTACCCAATGGGATGGGTTTAGACACTACGGTATGTTATTGAGCATCTATGGATTTGGGGATTATTGCTTACCGGTGGTTGCATCTAGCAAACCAGAAGTCCCGGCAGTTCTATAACGGACATACCACAGAAGAGATAGAGAGCTCTGATATAATTGGAATTCACTGTATGAACCAGCTCTACGATATACGGCCAACCCCGCACTAACTCCCAACCCCTCATGTAGCCATATGTGAACATGGTGGAATAACAGGTCGTGGTGTTCTTCTCGACTACGCAGAATGGGCCACCACAAATTCAATCTCCATCTCCGCCCTCGCATCAGAGGCCATCACCCTCGAAAACCTGAAGCGAGTAGTCAAAGATCACAACCTCGATTTCCAAAAGGGTGATATTCTATTCATCCGCAGCGGCTTCACGGCCGCATACAACAAGCTGGACAACCAACAGCGAAAGGAGCTGGCACTCCGATCATCGCCGGATTTTAGCGGTGTTGAAGCGACAGAAGATATGGTGCGATGGTTATGGGAACATCAGTTTTCTGCTGTCGCTGGTGATGCACCGAGCTTTGAGCGTGCGCCTATTAGAGGTGCCCATGCGGATCCGAATTTCAATTTGCATGAGTGGGTGCTGGCAGGTTGGGGTACTCCTATTGGGGAGATGTTTGATTTGGAGAAGTTATCGGAGCACTGCAAGACTATTGGACGTTATAGCTTTTTCTTGTCCAGTATGCCTTTGAAGGTGGGTTTCTCATGATTATTGGTTGCGTTCAATGTTGGCATTGTGCTAATTAAGACTTGGTCTAGGTTATCGGCGGTGTGGCTAGCCCGCCTAATGCGTTTGCTATTTTCTAAATTTATTTTCTATCTACTGAAACCAACAAATAATTTGAGAGATCTTTTACTCCACCGTGTCCACAGAAATGTTGGCGGGATTGTGCCGCCGAGTGTTCCGCCGGGTGGAGAAGGACAACAACATCGCAAAGATGGGACTGATAAGTTGCACGGTGGGAAAGTTGAATCCGGGCCCCCGGTCAACGGTCAAAAGGTATATAAAGTCTGCATAGATCCTTCTACAACCCCTCAATTATCCAAACGAACAACTCTCAAATCATCTTCCCCTCTATACACATCTTCAACGCACATCTCTCCCTTTCTCGCCACAATGATCGAAATTCCCAAGGCCAACTCCCTCAAAGACCTTTTCAGTCTGAAAGGCAAGGTTGTAGTTGTCACCGGCGCCTCCGGTGCTCGAGGAATCGGCCTCGAAGCAGCCCGCGGCTGTGCCGAAATGGGTGCCGACGTTGCAATCACATACTTCTCGCGAGGCGAGGGAGCCGAAGCAAACGCCAAGGCCCTGCAGGAGGAGTACGGTGTCAAAGCCAAGGCCTACAAATGCGACACATCGAAGTGGACTGAAGTGGAAGAGCTGGTCGCAAACGTTATCGCCGAGTTTGGCAAGATTGACTCTTTCATCGCGAACGCTGGCCGCACCGCCGATGCGGGTGTTCTCGATGGCTCCGTCGAAGACTGGGAGAACATTATCCAGGCAGATCTCAACTCCGTCTTTTACTGTGCCAAGGCTGTTGGCCCTCATTTCAAGGAACACGGCAAGGGAAGCTTTGTGATTACTGCTTCGATGTCCGGCCACATCGTCAATTACCCCCAGGAACAGACTTCATACAACGTTGCTAAGGCTGGGTGTATTCACATGGCTCGCTCATTGGCTAATGAGTGGAGGGACTTTGCTCGTGTTAACAGTATCTCACCTGGATACGTTAATACTGGGTTGGGAGACTTTGTGCCTGCAGACATTCAGGATGGTTGGAATAAGTTGATTCCTATGGGTCGCCAAAGTGATCCTAAGGAGTTGAAGGCCGCATATGTGTACTTTGCTAGCGATGCTAGTACTTACACTACTGGTGCGGATCTGCGCATTGATGGAGGTTACATTTGTCGGTAAAGAGAAAGATCTTTGAAGATATACCAAAGATGTTGTGTGTATTTAAAAGGTACAATGAACAAGTCTTAAAGAAAAAGACTACCTTTCTAAAACTGTTTCGAGAAGTAGAAGCAAGTAGATACCTCTTTAGTAGCACAATATGTAACTTTCATGACTATCATTTACACTCAAACTACATTATCACAGAGTCAAAGTTCCCCCATCAATAACAATATCGGCACCGGTAATGTACCGTCCTGCACGCTGGCTACACAGAAGAATAACAGCCCCAGTAATCTCTTCAGGATCCCCCATCCGACCCATTGGACAACGAGAATCCCAAATCTTCCTAACATCCGCCAAACTATCCCCAGCATTAAGAATTGTATCCATATACCCGGGACTAATACTATTAACCCTGATCCCATGAACAGCCCATTCAGCAGCGAGATTTCGCGTCAGATGCGCAACCCCAGCCTTGCTCGCATTGTAAGCAGCCTGCGGCTGCGGGAAATTGGTATAATGGGCCGACATCGACGCAGTGAACAGGATGCACCCGCCTTTACCTGAGGACTCCATGCGTTTTGCTGCTGCTTGCGCGCAGAAGAAAGATCCGTTCAGGTTGACGTCCATCACTTTGTTGAATTGGTCGGGTGTTACTGAAAGGGATGGTTGACAGCCGGGAATCCCAGCGAAGCAGCAGAGGATGTCGATGCCTTCCATTGTTTTGTTTGCCTGCTCGAATGCGGCTTCAATTGATTCCATTGATGTCACATCCAATGGGACTTTTTTTATATTGGCAGAGGGGAACTTTGATGCTAGCGATTGGATTTCTTCTGATGATGTCTCCAAGGTTCTAGGGAGATCCATGATACATAGTGAGGAAAGACCGTGCTCTAGGAGAGCCTGTGCAGAGATCAGGCCTAGTGCTCCTGCTCCGCCGGTGACTATAGCTTTCCCCTGAACTTGGAACCGTGCCTCCGCTCGCTCGCGGGCAGATGTTGAGGTTACTGGGGCGAGGGGGCGAGTGAGCGCGCTTGAACCCTCCGACAAGGTCATCATGGGGATGACTCGGGAAGTTAGCGAGGCTCGCTGGTCCTCACTCGCCCCTGCTGAGGTATCGGCGGACATTTTGATTTTGTAACGTCGAGTTCCAAGATGAATGGGTGTTTACCTATGTGGAGATTGATGTAATAAATTCGTTATCAGGCTTGGAGGACAAGACTGTTCACACAACGCGAAGGGAATGAGTGCAACAAGAAGTGGAAACAATGTGGGGTATTCGGGTTATGACGATGCATTATAGAAAAGGAAGGGACTTTGTCGATCACATAAAGCAGCGGGTTTAAAGCGTAGAGCTCAATAGGATTCTTAATTTGGAAGTACGTGCAGATGGTGGGGATGAGCGGATGCGAGGCGGTACACTTCCGCCAAAGCGGGGGATTCGGGGATTTCGCTGGCATCGGGCGGAGACATCGAGCCATCCCTCGGAGTGGGCCGATCCGACCTCATCTTGATGCAATGGGCACTTGGGCGGTATGGCACAATTTATTATTTTGATATATCACCAAGGATCACCGTCTGTAGATACTGAGGCCCCAATGTCTGAGTTTGTTGTACTGTTTCGCCCGGTTCATAGGGCGACAGTCTTGAGAATGACATCTGTCATCGCTAACAACTTCTCTTCTTCGAGTCTGCGACCAACCAGTTGCAGACTAACCGGCATGCCATGCACGGAGTCGGCAGAGTCTAGTTCTGTTAGTTCGAGCACGTCAAGTTCTTCAAGTATGGGCCACTGACAATCTTTTTGAATCTTCCCGTCCATATCACTCAGTGCCTGATGGTCGGTATACGGTGTATCAATAGCCTTATTGGTCGTGACACCACAGGGGAATGAAACGGCCGGATAATCAAGCAGGTTGAAAACACATGTATACCCAGCGTAACCGAATTTGCCATTCTCGACACTGCTGTATGGCGTCGTAGGGCCTACAGGAACCGGTTAATAAAGCATGTTACCTCGCTGAAGTAGGCGGACTTACCTAGAAGTGCATCAATGCCAGCCTCATTCCATCGATCCAGATAAGATTTGCAGAGAGCGTTACGCTTAACATGAGTCTGCCATAGATCGTACACGCTTATTTCCTTTGCGTCCTCGTACGGCTTCATTTCCGGACGGAACGGTTCCCCTGTTGGCTCGAGTAGATCCCGTACAGACTTCCCTCCATCTGCGAGGAACAAACGCCCGAGTACGATGAGCATTTCCATGTGCTCGGTCGAAGGCCAGGTGACAATCTCGTGACCAGCTGCCTTTAACTTCTCGACGGTCTCCTTGAGTGCACGAGCGACAGGAGGGGTTGGGGAAACGAATCCATCGTTCCAGAGGACACCAATTTTAAGAGTCTTCTTCAGTTCCACAGATCGCCAGGGGATGGGGAGGCATTTCGGGTCCCGGATCCAGGGTTGTAGGCCGAGAATGGTGCTGGACCAGAAAACGATTTCTTCCAGGGTCTTGGCTATCGGACCGCTGACGCCAATTATGGATTCTTGGCCTTCCAGACAGGCGCGTGAACGGAAGTTGGGAAAGCGCCCGGCGGAGGCGCGAATGGTGAAGGTGCCAGTGCAAGCGGCTGGCATACGGAGGGAGCCACCTAGTAGAACAATTAGCATTGTCCTTCGTGATAAAGTTTCCGCGTTGATACGTACCGATATCACTGCCGACACCAAGTCGACTACCACCGAACGCAATCAAGGCAGATTCTCCACCAGATGAACCCCCGGTGGTGAGATTGCGATTTTGTGGGTTGACCGTACGACCGAAAAGATTGTTCACAGACTCTGATATCATCATGGCGGTTGGCACATTGGTCTTGCAGTAGAGCACCGCGCCGGTTTCAAGGAGGAGATCAACAATCGTGCTATTGTAGGTGGCTGGTTTATTAACCAGGGAGGTGAACCCGATAGTTGAATCATAGCCAATATAGTTGAAGTTATCTTTGAGAGAGATAGGCAGGCCATGGAAGGGACCCTTTGTCTTTCCGGTTTGTTGGAAGTAAACATCGAGTTCCTTAGCCTGCGCGATGGCTTTGTCAAAGAAGATTTCTGACAAACAGTTTGTCTAGTCCAGCATTAGGCATTGTTTATATCTTATTGGGAGGAAAAATACCAATTGTTGTGCTACCGCCGCAGCCTTACAGAATGCCTTGGTCACCTCCTCTGACGTCCATGACCCCGAAGATAGATGAGATAGGATCGTCAGGGCAGAAATTGAGGTGATCTCCAATTCGCGCTCAGTGAAAAATCCAGATTCCCGAGGGAAAGTGGTCACATCTAACTGATCTTCAGGAGGAAAGATGGCAGCAGGAATCACCCATTCTGCTGGGATTGAATCCTTGAGTGTCTGGCGCTTTGTGGCCGCAATTGATTCCCACGACATTGTGGTAAGGGTAATAATAAAGTGGATAACGAAATACTAATACATACCTATAACTACCGAAGTATAGCCTTTTATATTCCGGATGAGGGTCCAATGTCGGTATATCGGAGTTTATATCGGACCATAGCATAAAACACGTGCATGGCGTGATTAGCTAGCTCGTCGGTAAATCTGAATCTAGTAATCAACTGCCGATAACGAGGGGTAAGTGAGACACAGACTAATATTTCCCCTTTCGGAAAGTCATGGTTTTTTCTTGCCTCCAGGGCTGTGTCTAGTCCTGATAACTCGTACTGTTATGACTGGAAGACAGAGGTGTCGATAAGAGAGGCATCAGGATGTTCTGTCCTTCTGATGCCTCTGCTACTTTGCCAATAACCTCAATCAAGCTAACTTGATATCAAGGTATACAGCTGTTAGGGTTTACGCAAATTGCTTCCGGCCTGGAAAGATAAAGTGGGTCTAGTCTAGTCTAGA